CTGCCACCTGGGTCACTGGAGGCACAGAGCAGTAATCTGACCTATACCATCGAACATTAAGAAATACATAAGAAGGATTTATTTTGCAGTAAGATAGAGCAAGCTGTCAGACTCAAAGTGAATTAGCAGTATGAAACACACATAAGTATTCTGCAAACTTAAACTTGCTTTTACTTGTCAGTGATAATAGTTCAGAAACAAAATACTTTTTTTTTTTTTTTGACACGGAGTTTCGCCCTTGTCCCCTAGCCTGGAGTACAATGGCGTGATCTCGGCTCACTGCAACCTCTGCCTGCTGGGTTCAAGCGATTCTCCTGCCTCAGTCTCCCAAGAATTATAGGCGTATGACACCACACCCAGCTAATTTTTGTATTATTAGTAGAGACAGGGTTTCATCATGTTGTCCAGGCTGGTCTTGAACTCCTGACCTCAGGTGATCCACCTGCCTTGGCCTCCCAAAGTGCCAGGATTACCCACATGAGTCACCATACCCGGCCCAAAATACAATTTTAATTCAGAGGATATGAACACAGATCCCAATGGTAGGAAGGGAAGAACAGGCCTAAATTCAGCATTAGATTTTGCAGGGCTGTGTATATTCGGAGGGGCGGGGCGGTGGGTGGGGGGCGGGTATGTTTTTTAAATAACAGTTCCAAGGCTAGGTTTCAAACTCACCAGTGGAGGCGTATGGCGTGAAGAAACGCAGAAAGCCCTTCCATGATCAGAAGGATGAAAATGGTCAGAACTGCAAAGAGCGCGATAACCGGGAGCAGCAGCAAGACGCCATAGGTGGTGTCCACGCGGAGGCCCACGCGCATCAGCATGGCCCACAGGACATCAGACAGCTCTGCAAAGGAGTGCAGCCCGCACAGGTCACGCCCACTTACGTACAGTGGGTCCCCCTGGGAGCTCCCTGGACTATTTCCCTCTGACAGCTCTGAACTATCATCCCATAAAATAATAGACACACAGGTAACACAGACCCAACTGCTTCTCATGGGAAAGCCAGTCAGCTCTGACACTGTCTCAAACACTAAGGAAGACCTGGTGCTCCAAAAACATCAGAGGCATCTCCCAAAGGGAGGTCTTGCCGCAGACTAGGTTTGGGTTAGTGACCTCCCAAAGCAGCACTGGACCAGGCAGCCAGAAACAGGCTCCCAGACCTGGTTCTGCCACTGAGGGACCAACTGGATGGCCGTGAGTAAAGCGCCAACACTCAGCGGGCTTCTGCCACCACCTCTGCAAAATGGAGATAAACGACCACAGGGCCCCTCCAGCCATACGATTCCAGGCCTTCGGCTATGCTTATAAAAACATGAGCAGTTTTTTAATTTAAAAAAAAAAAAAAAAAAAGACACCCTCTTGTCCAGTGGTTCCACAAGCACAGGCAGTGCTTGCTTTGCACAGTACTGCAGAAGCACAAAAGAGACCTTGCAATCAAAACCATCCGAAGCATCCCTATTAATCCATGGGGGAAAAGGTTTGTTCTGTGGCCTTTAAAATTTGTGTTAAAACATTAAAAACTCTCTTATTGTTGGCTATATTGTTGGCCAACAATGAGAGAGTTGTTTTTTGTTTTTTGTTTTTTTTGAGACAGAGTCTTGCTCTGTCGCCCAGGCTGGAGTACAGTGGTGCGATTTCGGCTCACTGCAAGCTCTGCCTCCCGAGTTCACGCCATTCTCCTGCCTCAGCTTCCCAAGTAACGGGGACTACAGGCGCCCACCACCACGCCCAGCTAATTTTTTGTATTTTTAGTAGAGACGGGGTTTCACCGTGTTAGCCAGGATGGTCTTAAAATCTCCTGACCTTGTGATCTGCCCGCCGAGGCCTCCCAAAGTGCTGGGATTACAGGCATGAGCCACCGCACCCGGCCAATAGAAGAGTTTTTAATGTTTTAACAAAAACTATAGGGAAATGAAAAAATGGTAAATATATCTTTAAAACATTAGAAGCACTGGGTATTAAAGTCTTTTGTCTGTTATTTAAAAAAAAAACCAAAAAACCAAAAAACCAGTTTATTAGGGTAGTTTGAACAGTGCTTGGTTCCTGTTGCGTAACTTGGCAAGCTGGGTGACCTGATCCAGAGCAAGCATCTTTCCTAATACTTGCCAAATTGTCCTATTTTTTTTCCCTTTAACTTTTTTTTTTGAGACAGAGTCTCGCTCTGTCACCCAGGCTGGAAGGCAGTGACGTGATCTTGGCTCACTGCAACGTCCGCCTCCTAAGTTCACGCGATTCTCCTGCCTCAGCCTCCCAAGTCGCTGGGACTACAGGCACCCACCACCATGCCCAGCTAATTTTTGTATTTTTAGTAGAGATGGGCTTTTGCCACGCTGGCCAGGCTGGTGTCAAACTCCTGATCTCAGGTGATCCACCTGCCTCGGCCTCCCAAAGTGCTGAGATTACAGGTGTGAGCCACCGCACCCGGCCTGTCCTATTATTTTCTAAGTTTGAACCCACTTGCAACACTGCACCCTTTGCACCCTTTGCACCCTTCAGTGTCCTGAAACATTGCCGAGCACCACTGGTGGGTCATCAGCATCTTCATCACAACACCCGCTGCACATAGGGTGGTAAATGCACCTGCACCTACCTACACAGCTAGTTACTGTGGTGACTGAAATTGGAACCATGCTGCTGGGGAACAGGTGTTAATTACACTGTGGAAACTAACATGTGTGCATTATTGGAATAGTACAAAGGGAGGACTCCTGTGATCAGAGCTACCCATGAGTGCTGTGGCAGGACTTGCTTGAAATAAACAGATATTCACACCTGGTAAGGCAGCACTGAATAAAATAACTACTAACAGAAACAGGAATGGCAACAGCAGCAAGTGTTTACACCAGAGGCTCCCAAGCCATCTCAGTTCTCAAAGCCCCTTGTGTCTCAGTGATTTTTTTTTTTAATTGGGCAGCCTCTGAAGCCAGACCAGCCTCAGAGAGACCCCCTCTGTGATTTTTCCACAGCACCCCTCAGCCAAAAGAAATAGCCAAGAGAGCTGTGTATTAAGTAGTGAATAGTATAAGTTCACATGGCAGCTGAAAGATGGTGCTATGACTATTAGTTACCAAGTTAAAATATCCCACAGTGCCCCCTGAGTCTGCTGGCACTACAGGGCGTTGGGAACTGCAGGTCTAAGCAGGAACTTACGTGCATGAGCCAGGCTGAGCGCCCAGAGCCTCAGGTAGGAGGCGGTGTTGGAGATGCATCCCAGACAGTACTCAATGGAATGGATTACTTGGGTCATTAATATTTCTCCAAAATTAAACTGAGAGAGATCACACAACATATGTTAGAGTCATGATGTTACATGTGTACTTCTACATGCCAAGTGGGTTCCACTTCAAGGATTACAATGAAAGAGCTGCTGGCTGGATGCTGGTGAGAACACGCTGGAGCGTGAGGAACAGAAACCCAAGACTTGCATTCTGTCCATCACTCTGCCACAACCCAGCTCCAGGACCAGACTTTACCACCCCAAATCCCCACCTTCATCAGTCCCACTCCCACCCCATGCGTCAGACTCCCATGTGTAAACCAAGAGGCTAGACCAGAGGAACTGCCACGGCCACAGCTGCTATACAAATGGGATTCCTGGGCAGGTCTCAGTAATTATGAAACCTCTACTGATAAAATAGGTATTCACCAACCGCAAGAGTAGAAGGCGATTCACTAGATGTGGGCATTCTAAGTACAGCCAACCAGGGAAAACTATGCAAGGGGTCCCTGATAGGAAAAAGCTGCAAAACACCAGGCAAGGTGACTCGGATGCGCTTTCCAGCTCTGCTTTTGTTTCTCTATGATGCTAGAACTTAATTATTAATTGTCCCGAATTAAAACATGAAATTACATAATAATTACAAAATGCTGATTATATGAAATTTTGTTTGGTCCTCACTAAATGGTCAAAGTAAAGTTTCCAAGAAAAGAAAGCAGAGGCCGTGCTCTGCTCTGTCTGCCCGGGACTGCACCTCTCTTCTTTGTGGGGAGCTACTACTTCCCTGTCCAGCCTTATATCCCCAACCACAGTTGCTCTGAATTATGTCCCCAAAAGTCTTATGCTGAAGCTCTAACTGCAATGTGACTGTATTTGAAGACAGAACCTTTGAGGAGGTAATCAAGGTTGAGTGAGGTCAGGAGGTGGGCCCTGACCCACTGTGACTGCTGTCTTCTGGGAAGAGCAGGAAAAGCAGGGGCACAGGCACAGAGGACAGGCCCTGGGCCGACACACAGCAAGCGAGCAGGGAGGCCTCGGGGAAAGCAGCCTGCCAGCATCTGAGTCCGGGCCTGCCAGCCTCCGGAGCTGTGAGAAGAAGTCTCTTATTGAAGCCACCCAGTCTGTGGTATTTTGTTATGGCAGCCCCAGGGGACTAAGACAGCAGTCACTGGTGCAGGGGACTGAGGCGGCAGTCACTGGTGCAGGGGACTGAGGCGGCAGTCACTGGTGCAGGGGACTGAAGCGGCAGTCACTGGTGCAGGGACAGCAAGTATGTGGGGATTTTTTCCTAAGAGTAACAAGCTGGTAAGGGCGCTTTGCTCACTGATGGAAAAACTGAAAAAATAAGCCCAGGGCAACTTGTGACTATGGTTCTAGCATCGTGGGGCCAACTGACTTCACAATATAAAGAAAACTTACAAAGAAAAAAAGCCAACCAAGGCCTCTTGGAATTGGAGACCCAAAAACTGTAATCATCCTGAAACCAACTCTACCTCTGTCCTGCCATGAGCCAGTAAAAATCCCTTTGCAGTCAGAAAAAACTGGGTCTCTATTTCTTCCAACTATGAAAAAGTTCTGACTGACACAAGAAACTTCTGAAAGCAATGTTCATGGCACCTTAAGTCACTCCAATCATAACTGGTAATATAACAGCAGAAATCCCACTGGAGAAGGAAAAGGACAAAATGACCCGAACTCACATATAATGCCACCAACTCTATCATCAAACAGCATTTGGAAAGCGCTAACCTTCACTCGAACCCTAACCACTGCCTAGTTGGCTTCAACAATGGAAACTGGTTTCTCATAGTTCTGGAAGCTGGAAGTCCCATTTCCTTAACCATTTTTTAAGATGATTAAATATTATCTTAACATGATCATCTCTATGGAAGCTTGGTTACTTATCTATCAATAGCAGTTGAAAAGATTTACCTCTTCACACGCCATTTCCCTACATCCATCTTCCACCTGGTGATTTCCCTCTTCCACATCTTGGTTTCCCAGCAATGAAACTTCTTCCTCACTCTCTTTCCTTATAAGTGTGTAACCACTCTAACAACCAAAAGAGCACAGAGTCAGTGCCTGTAAAACCACAAGGTTGTGACAAAACAAAACTTTATTTATAGTTTCTTTGTTTCTCTTAATGATTCAGCTCTTTAAGAATAAAAAAGTTCTTTAGGCCAGGTGCAGTGGCTCACACCTGTAATCACAGCACTTTGGGAGGCCGAGGCAGGTGAATAACCTGAGGTCAGGGGTTCGAGACTAGCCTGTGCAACATAGAAAAACCCCGTCTTTTACTAAAAATACAAAAATTAGCAGGGCGTGGTGGTGGGTGCCTGTAGTCCCCCTACTCAAGGGCTGAGGCAAGAGAACTGCTTGAACCCAGGAGGCAGACGTTGCAGTAAGCTGAGATAGTGCCACTGCACTCCAGTCTGGGCAACAGAGGAAGACTCCAGTCTCAAAAAAAAAAAAGGAAAAAGAAAAAAGAAAATCTTAAAGAAGAAATTAAGAAGAATATGGAAAAAGGCATTTTAATTATGCCCATCTGCATTGAAGGATTGAGTTAAACTCCTAATAAGCCTGTAGTTCATGCCAGCAGGGCCCTGGGCACAGCAGGCTCTTTCAACATCAATGTTTTATTTACTTATTTATTTTGAGACAAGAGTCTTGCTTTGCTGCCCAGGCTGGAGGGCAGTGGCATGATCACAGCTCACTGCAACCTCTGCCTGCCAGGCTCAAGCAATCTCCCACCTCAGCCTCCTGAGTACCTGGGACTATAGGTGCACACCACCACACTGGCTTATTTTTGTATTTTTGGTAGAGACAGGGTTTTGCCATGTTGCCCAGGCTGGTCTCGAACTCCTGGGCTCAAGTGATCTGCCCGCTTTGGCCTCCCAAAGTGCTGGGATTACAGGTGTGAGCTACCATGCCCAGCCAACGTCAATGTTTTAAATAAAGGAAGCTTTGGCTTTTAAATCAAGACAAGGAACCCTCCAGGGGTGTTTTCTACACCAATCCTTGTATAACTGAAAGCAGACTTTGCTCACACTTTACAAGCATGCATCCAAACCTGCACTTACCCGGTTCACCCCGAAGCAACTACGCCCATTGTGAAGCCACAACAAAAACAGTGGCTTTCCCAAGAAGAGGACCGGGACAGACAATGCTGTGACAACCAGCAGCACTCTCTGGACATACTCCTGTCAGTGCAGAAGGTGAGAAACTCGATTACAACGTGAGCGCACGCTCGCGGTGTCAGTAGCACACGATGAAATCAGTCAAGATCAAACAAGGTCTCCACGCGAGGAACATTAAATAAATGCCAGGCAGCTACACTTGCCAGTGGGTTTTCTTTTCCTAAACTCACAGCTGAATTCTAGAACTGATGCATAACATTAATGACCCTGTGGTAAAGTATTATTTTGTTTCAGACCAGCAAGGAAGCTTTACAAAAATTGTAAATAAAGTCAAACTCCAACTAATCATTTTCTGGAAACACTGTAAATGAGAAAGCATAGCACAAGCAGAATATTTTTTATATTTTTGGTTCTGTTTTCCTGTTATTTGATGATTATAAAGACTGTTTGAGGACTCCTGAGTGTGAAGCAAGTGGATTTACCTCCACACACAGAAAATCGTGGAAGAGAATTCAGAACAAAACCAAAAAAACTTCCTTAGAAAAACCAAGATTTATAGTTACTTAAAGCTAAATCAAGAGCAAAACTCACTCAGGCTTACACAGCCACGGCAGTCCGCATGGCTTTCCAGGGTCTGGACGGGACACTGTGCTGTCCAAGCTTATCACTCTCTATGGTTGCCCCTCATCAAAAGCAGGTCCTGAGAGCTCTGTGTGCTACTCAGGCACAGGGCTGTATTATCTACACAACATCAACACGATGAGCCTCTCGAAAAGCCGAGAGGTGGCGGCCACAGGCAGAGCCACATCAGAAGTCCTAGGCTGGAGCCAGGCTGACCTAGGTTACCAGCCTGGCCCTACAGACCGCTGAGTGACCAGGACTGCCCTGAGCCACTGGTTATCACCAGTAACAGGGGACGACACCACCTACCTCCTGGGGCTGTTGTGAGAACTAAGAAACACTAGGTAAGGAAAGCACACTTCCAGGTGTGCGGCAGGTACTGAATGAAGGGAGCCGCCCTTCACTGATATTTCTGTCCACAGGGCACAGTGCCTACGCCCACTGAACGCCCTTGCTTTTATCTGTGGTGTCTATGCCATCATACAAAGCTTCAACAAAATAATGATAAAATACAATTCTTAAAAATCATAAACAAGAGAAACAAAAAAAAAAGCAGAAACTTGAAAAGTTCAAAGAGAACGCAAATACGCATCTCGTCAACGAGGCCAAAGTTATGTAAGTTGAGCTTCAAATCCGACCTAAAACTTTCCAGCACCCAATAGAATGTGAAAAACAAAACCAAATGCTCCATTCACAGATTAACAAGATGAAGAACCAAAACACGGCTCAGGAGGAACACAGGTTCGGACACTACCGACTGGGAGGGTTTCCCAGATGTCTTCACAGACACTGGACAACGTGGTGAGCTGTGTCTGGGCCAGCATCCAGGGGCAGGAGGTGCCGTGGCACTCACAGCAGAAAGACCTTCAATGTAAGGTGGGTAAGAACTATGGCAAACGCTGACATTTACTGAGTAGCTGGCTTGTGCAAGTGCGTTCGTACGCACTTTGGACACATGTGCGCTACACCATGAACCAGCTCCTATTTTTAGTCCCACTTTACAGATGAGGAAACAGAGGCAGAGAGAAGTTAGTCATCTGCTCCAAGTTCCATCCTGAGGAAATGGCAGAGTGGGGCCTCAAGCAGAGCAGGGAACCCTGAGAGCCCACTGTGACATCACACAAACGTACAGTGAGAGGAAAGCTCATTTTTCGAAAGGGTCCATGTGCTGTGACCCAGGTGGTCCCTTCTAAATGGGGGGACTGGGCAGCCCTCGGGAAACCCTCCGGTAATGCATTTTCTTCCCACCAGTTCTGTTGGTTTCAGGGGGTTTTGCTTTTGGTTTTAGTTGAGACAAGGTCTTGCTCTGTCACCCAGGCTGGAGTGAAGCAGAGCAGTCATGGTTCACTGCAGCCTCGACCTCCTGGGCTCAAGGGATCCTCCTGCCTCAGCTTCCCAAGTAGCTGGGACTACAGGTACAGCCACCACGCCTGGCAAATTTTGGTATTTTTTGTAGAGATGAGGTCTTGCTGTGTTGCCCAGGCTGGTCTCGAACTCACAGACTCAAGCAATTCGCCAGCCTTGGCCTCCCAAAGTGCTGGGATTACAGAAACGAGCCACTGTGCCCGGCCTCTTCCTACTCATTCTGATGGCTACTGAATGGCAGCGAGTTTGGTCATGCTGCCTGACCAGAGCCTGCACACAGCAGTCGAGCTGGACTGGCATCCTCCAGTGATGATACACGCAGAGACAGACGCAGCCTTCCCAGGCTCCTGGGAGTCTGTGGAGATCACCCCGACACTTCTACTGCTCAGAATAAAAGGCTATTGGGAATACTTTCGTTAAGTTCATGAGAGTGGGAAGATGACTCACCTGCCCTGTGTAAAGACCATTTGTTTTACTGGTTGGGAATAAAAACATGTTAATAAATTCAATCAGAATGCTGGGAGCAACTCTAGAGGTTTCTGCTGAAAAAACCAGCCACTTGTAGAAAATCATAAATATAAGGTATCCAAAGATACAGAGCATGAAGAGAAGTTCTGGGATGGAAACCAGGTAAATGTTGAACTTCTTCCTGAAGTGCCTAGAAAAGAAAAGGAATCAATCAACCCATGAACAAGATCAGCCTACGTTAAAAAGAGTAAATTTAACTCTCTACAACTAAACATAAAGCGAATTTCAGAATAACATCATTTCTCATATGATGACTCCAGATAGATCTGAGTATCCAGATACATCTACGAGGAAGAGAATGTTAGGTCGGCCAAAATGACTACAGTTTTGGGGGTCAAATCTCACTCAAATTTTCTTCCTTGGTTCCCTAATTCAGAAACATTTTCTTCCTTAAAGTAAGGCTACACAATATTAGTGAATCTGGCTCCAAAATGCTGTATCTTACATTGTTATAAAAGTTTTTCAAGACTCCAGTTATAGCGACTTAAAGCTACAACATCAAATTATACAAATTATGTTTAGAGATGAGAATGAACAGGTCTAGTTAGAGAAAAATGACACCATCTCTTACTCTTCATATACTAGCTCTAATAAAGTAAAAACAAAAAGATTTTTTATTTGTAAAATGAAAACGGAATATGACAAGCATCCCTTCTGGAAATCGACATGAATGCACATGTCAGATGTCTCCCCTACTTGAATGGAAGCTCCATTGGGGCAATAAATTTTTTCTGCCCTCCTCACTGCTGAACCCCGAGTGCCTAAAATAGCACTTGGCACTACTATGCGCTCGATAAATACATATTTGCTGAATGAATGAATTGCTGAAACCACAGAAAATCTAAACAGCCACAACAGAATCATGTAAATACAACATCATATTGGCTGCCCCTTACCCAATAAATACAGTCACCAACAAGAAGCAAAACTGAAGAAATGCCAAGTTTGGTTTATAAATATTGCTTAAAAAAAAATCTGTACTTACAAGTGGTTAAATATTCCCAGAATGACTCCAAAAGTCATGTGAATGATTCCTAAAATCACAGACATTTTCATTTTGAAAGAGTTTAGAAAAGTGAGGCGATTTGTGGCCAAGTTCCAAATCTAAAACCAAACCAAACAAAACAAAACAGAATCTTTAACTTCCTTCAACAGGTGACACTCAAGAAAGTCCCTGTCTTAACTCGAAAGGTGGCTCTAAGTTTAAGAAGGAAACAACATTCAGGCTTTTCTTTTGATGCTTTCAATCTGAGAACCATTGATTTCCTTAAACCAGGGCCACAGACAGTTAGAAAACAATTTTATCACTGTTAACGCCAAAGGATGCCAGATGGAACCACATAGCACTTAGGGAGATGTGTCTGGGAAGTCTTGACAAAAGGCAAGGCGAGGGAAAGTCACACACAGCTCAGAGACTGGAAGGGTCAGGACACTTTCAAGGTCCTGGGTTATGTCCCCTCTACGTGGGCAGGAGACATACATGTGTCATCACACGTTTATATACATGTGCCACACATGCTCCTATATGTCTATTTTGTCATAAAGTTTAGCTGTGAATACAATGAAATCAGAAATGCTGCAAGTGGCCAAGCCAAGATGTGCCAAGAGGGACTCCAGGCCACGGCTGACCTCCCCAGGGTGCCCCTGGCTGGTCTGAGTCCCCACAACCTCCTCACTCACTGACTGCTTCTCTTACTGTCTGAAAATGAATTCCTACAACCTGCTCTTCAGGTGGGTTAGGAAAAGGGAAACAGGGCCTATTAAAACAGAATCTTTTTTTAATTTTTTTATTTTTGAGGAGTCTCACTCTGTCACCCAGGCTGGAATGCAGTGGCGCAATCTCGGCTCACTGCAACCTCCACCTCCCGGGTTCAAGCAATTCTCCTGCCTCAGCCTCCTGAGTAGCTGGACCAGCATGCCTGGCTAATGTTTGTATTTTTAGTAGAGACAGGGTTTTGCCATGTTGGCCAGGCTAGTCTCAAACACCTGACCTCAGGTGATCCTCCTGCCTTGGCCTCCCAAAGTGCTGGGATTACAAGTGTGAGCCACTGCGCCCGGCCTTTATTTTTTTTTATTTTTTATTTTTATTTTTTTTTAAGATAAGGGGTCTCACTGTCACCTAGGGCTACAGTACAGTGGAGCAATCACGGCTCACTGCAGCCTTGACCTCCTGGACTCAAGCAATCTTCCGACCTCAGCCTTCCGACAAGCTGGGACCACAGGCGCGCACCACCACTCCCAGGTAATTTTAAAACTTCTAGTCTCCCAGTTCCTAGCCCTGAATTATCTCATTTTGCCCTTGGAAAAATAAGATTTTAGAATGAAGTATTCAGGGCTGAGAACTAGGAGGCCAGTCAACTTCGCTGATATATTTATATTATATATACTTTTATATATTATTTTAAAGTATGCATTTTATATATGTAATGTACATACATTGGTTTACTTTTGAACTAAATGAATGTAATGCCTAGTTTAAAATTAAGTTAAAACAGAAAGACAAAACCATACCCCAATTTCCTCCAATGCCTCTTAAAAAAAAAAAAAAAAACTCACTCAAACTTTGTTCCTTGGTTCCCTTATTCAGAAACATTTCTTTCCTTAACACAAAGCTACAAGTTATCACTGAATTTGGCTCCAAAATACTGTGTCTTAAAGAAACTGTTGTAGCTGTGTTTCCAAGTTTTCAGTTACATTAAGACTTAATGCTACAACATGAAATTATACTAATCATGATCAGAGGTAAGAATAAACAGAACACACTAAGAGATACTGCCTCCTTGGAGAGCCCAGGTTAAGGAATGCTAGACTTTTTTTGCCCAATGACTGTACACAATTACATCCACAAACTAATTTTGAGATGGTTTCTGAGTCATTCTTTTGATTCTCCAGAAAGACTCCTGACAGCCCAGAAAAACCCCACCTAGCCCTGAGGTCCGATGCCTCAGCCACTGCCGCTGAGCCCTAGAAGGGGCTGGGGGTCCTGGCACCCTGCGGCTACTTCTCCATTTTCTATTTTATTTATTTATTTATTTATTTACTTTTTGAGACGGAGTCTCGCTCTGTTGCCCAGGCTGGAGTGCAGTGGCCAGATCTCAGCTCACTGCAAGCTCCACCTCCCAGGTTCACGCCATTCTCCTGCCTCAGCCTCCCAAGTAGCTGGGACTACAGGCGCCCACCACCACGCCCAGCTAATTTTTTGTATTTTTAGTAGAGACAGGGTTTCACCGTGTTAGCCAGGATGGTCTCGATCTCCTGACCTCGTGATCTGCCCGCCTCGGCCTCCCAAAGTGCTGGAAATACAGGCCTGAGTTTTTCTTTCTACTAACACTTCTCCCATTCCAAACAACTACCCCAGTAAGCTCTACAATAACCTTACGCTTCCTTTCAGCTCTAACATTCCATACTACTTCTTTCCAGATCAAGGGTTTTTAAAAGTTCACATATACAAGGAAGAAATGTAGGAAATGGTACACATTTCGGGGCTACTGAAGTGCCATTTTTCGCCAGAGGAAAATAGGTAGGACACATGACAGAACACAGTCCTGGCTCTCTGAGGACTTCCTCTGACCTCACCTTCCCAAACCAAGGGACCCCAGCTCCTGGCCTCCCCACCCAATGTCCGGGACTGGGATGCACAGGGGCTAATGCGCACCTCCCCCTTGGTGCAGCGTGAACCCTGCTCAACAGTCTAGAGAACCTCGTGGCGCCCGAAGCTAAGTGGCACCACAGAGCACCCAGAGACAATGACAGAGTGCGGTGCACTCACAGGATCAATGCCAAGGGGATAAGGGCCTTGGAACACTCCAGGAACGCTTGGATCCAACTGCAAAATGCTGTTGTGCCTGACGACGCTGTCACTGTAACAAAAAGCAGAGTGAGGAGGCTGACCAGGGAGGAGGAAGGTCTAGGAAACATGCTTCCCACCCAGAGCATCACCAGCTATGGGACACTTACTTCCAAAGCACCATCTTCTTACGTTCTGCGGGGGGGTGGCTGGAGGTGTACATGGCAGACACGTTCCACCCAGAGCCGAACAGGTTGACTGACTTTGAGAAACAGTCATTGTAGATGAGGCCGGTGTACACCGAGAACAGCCCCATCAGCAGGAGGATGTACCGGCCATTAAAAAACATCCTCATGATCTGTGAAGGGCAAGGCGGGAGGATCAGAATATGGTTACTGAAGGGTGTCCATGTGACAGCTGTCGGTGTGGGAACCACCCTCACCACTCCTCCCGCGGCTTCTCGGAAAACAGCCTGGCCCCGCAGACATCCCTGTCAGCCACAGCTGACAGGCCACACACCTGCCCAGTACAGCCACAGCCTACAGCGAACATCTAAGGGGTGTGTCTCTTTCGGTCACTGCTAATGCCACCCAACCAGATATATGAGCTGGAGTGTTTATATTTTTACCTCTTGTGACTGATTTAGTCTGGGATGATTTTCATTTAACACCAACAAAAGGGCAAATAAAAACATCACAAAGCCATGTCCGAAGTCTCCAAACATCACAGCAAATAAAAACGGGAAGGTGATGATGGTAAAGAGAGCTGCAGAAAAAAGGAAAAGAGATCTCTGATTCACAGCAAATACGGAAAATCTGAGTTCATTCAAACACAATGATACACAACGATCTGGACTTTCTCCAGAATTCCCAAGATAGGATTGTGTGGTTACATTTAAAACCTTATAGTTTTAAATAAGATAGCAAAAAAGTAGCGATCAGCCTCTTTTTCCAAATATCTATTCCATTCTTAGAGCAAGAATGCGGCAATGCCATTGGAAATATGGGTATTTACGAATCAGACTTCCAACCTGGATTGACTTCTCTGTAGCTTCCTACTCCATAAGCATCCACGATGTTCTGAAATCCCTCGGTGAACTTGTTGGTGCGGATTCGAGTGGGGGGTGTTTCTTTCGTGGGGATTATGTTCATGAATGAGGGGATTGTAGCACCACTCTCTCTCTTCCACATAAACAAGGAAAGGAAAAAAATTACTATCCAAGAAGAAAATTACTATCCATATTCAACAAATCTGGGTTACTGCTTTGTTTTTATTTTTGAGACGGAGTTTCACTCTTGTTGCCCAGGCTGGAGTGCAATGGTACGATCTTGGCTCACTGCAACCTCTGCTTCCTGGGTTCAAGTGATTCTCCTGCCTCAGCTTCCTGAGTAGCTGGATTACAGGGGCCCACCACCACACCAGCTAATTTTGTATTTTTTGGGGTTTCTCCATGTTGGTCAGGTTAGTCTCGAACTCCCAACCTCAGGTGATCCACCTGCATTGGCCTCCCAGTGTGCTGGGATTACAGGTGTGAGCCACCGCACCCAGCCTTGGGTTACTGCTTTCGCAATGCTCTGTGTGTAGCTTTGGTACAGGATTAATCTCCACTCAACAGGGTCAAGAGCAGCGAGAGGGGCTGGGGGAAAAGTCCGTCTGTGAGGAAGCAGGGGCTTGGGGAGGGTGGCACTTGGGGGCTGTGGTCTCCAAGAAGGAAGGGCGAGAGCAGGACTGAATGGGCCAGAAGTGAATGGGGGCTGGGGAATGCGGGGCACATGGGTATGGAATTGGCTCAGTCACCGACAGAAAATTGACACTGAGTACTTTATCTCTTAAAAACGGTGAAGAAAGAGGAAGTTTGAGGCAACTGCAATATACTTAATAAAAAAATGAGAAAGGCAAGAATAAACCAGAATGTCACATGAATTCTAGTATGGCAAAATTATAAATATAACTTTATCCATCAGTGTTTACAATTCTTCTGAAACGCATTATATTGATTTATAATGAAAATACTTTTAAAATAAGGTAAAACAAGTTATTGCCAGAATAGCAGATTTTCCGGTCAAAATAAGTCTCTTTTTATTTTATTTTATTTTTTTTTTGAGAAGGAGTCTTGCTCTGTCACAAAGGTTGGAGTGCAGTGGCATGATCTTGGCTCACTGCAACCTATGCCTCCCAGGTTCAAGCGATTCTCGTGTCTCAGCCTCCCAGGTAGCTGGGATTACATGTGTGCAGCACACCACCACATCTGACTACTTTTTGTATTTTTAGTAGAGACGGGATTTCACCATGTTAGTCAGGCTAATCTTTACTAAAAATACAAAAACTAGACAGGCGTGGTGGTGCGCACATGTAATCCCAGCTACTTGGGAGGCTGAGGCACGAGAATTGCTTGAACCCGGGAGGCAGAGGTTGCAGTGAGCTGAGATCACTCCACTGTACTCCAGCCTGGGTGACAGAGTGAGACTCCTTCTCAAAAACAAAAAAAAAAATAAAATAAAAAGAGGCTTATTTTGACTGGAAAATCTGCTATTCTGGCAATAACCTGTTTTATGTTACTTTAAAAGTGTTTTCATTATCAATCAATCTTATAAGGTCATAAGAAGAAGAAAGCCAGGGAGTAGAATACCACCCCACAGACAGTGAGAAGACGCCAGAAAGAAGGTCCACAAGACAGATAACACCAGTGTAACTGACTGATTCAAAAGGAGTTAAAAGAATTAAGAAAATAATACAAGACAGGAAAAAGCACCAGGAATCAGATTTTAAAAGACTCAGGAATGAGGTAACAGAACTCAAGAAGGAATTAGGAAAAAGAGAAAAAAAAAATTCAGAAATAAGACAAAACCAGAAGGAACACAAAAGTGAAGAACCCTTCCTCATACTGCTGTAAGAGAAACAGAAGGCACAGAGGGGAAATCTTACAAATCAAAAAGAAGGAACAAAAGACAAAAAGGATTCAAGGGAAAGTGACAGATACTGAAGATAAGCAAAGAAGGTTCCACTGAAAGATGACAGGAGGTCCTAAAAGAAGAAAACCAAAGCAAGACAGTAGAGCAAACACCAGAAACTACAATTCAGGAGAACGTTTATGAAATTAACAAAACCACCACCAAAGACTATATATTGAAAGAACATACAGAAAGACCACATTAAGAGACACATTCTGGGCCAGGCGCGATGGCTCATGCCTGTAATCCCAGCATTTTGGAAGGTCAAGGCAGGTGGATCACTTGGGATCAGGAGTTCGAGACCAGCCCGTCCAACATGATGAAACCCCATCTCTGCTAAAAATTCACACATACAAATTAGCCAGGCATGGCAGTGCAGACCTCCAGACCCAGCTACTTGAGAGGCTGAGAATCACTTGAATTCTCACTGCATGAGAATCACTTGAACCTGGGAGGCAGAGGTTGCAGTGAGCCAGTATCATGCCACTGTACTCCAGCCTGGGTGAAAGAGCCAGACTCTATCTCCAAAAAAAAGAGAGAGAGAGAGAGAGAGAGACACATTCTGTAAAATCATTGTTTTTTGGTTTTTTGTTTTGTTTTTTGTTTTGAGACAAGGTCTGGCTCTGTTGCTCAGGCTGGAGCACAATACAGCCTCAACCTCCCAGGCTCAAGCAATCCTCCCACCCCACCCTCCAGAGTAGCTGAGATTACAGGTGCATCACCACATCTGGCTCATTTTTAAGTTTTTTTGTAGAGATGGGGTTTAACCATGTTGCCCAGGCTGAAAATCACCAGTCTTTAAAGACAAAACAAAACTAAACTAAACTAAAAAAGCGCAAGAATTACAAGGAAAAGAAAATTAGATTAGCATCAGGCTTTTTGTTGGGAGCATGGTGCCAGAACAAGATGGAAGAACATGTGTAAGATACTCAAGGGGAAAAAAAATGAGCCCAGAATTTTATTTCCAGAAAAACTAACTCCCAATTATAAAAAGCAGCAGACAGCTACTGTGATCAACGTGAGAATTCAGGGAATATGATTCTCGCAAGCCTCTGTGAGGCATCTCTAGGGAATGAGCTTCAGGCAGCCAAGTGACTAGAGAGACATGAACCCAAGAACTGGGATCTGCAGACTGGAGGCTGAGACTCCCCTCTTCCGCCTGGCAAAGCCTGTTAGGAGTCCCGCATGTGAGTCCCCTGTGTGCCTGATCAAATTCAATCTTGGCGACAGAAAAAAAGGCATCCTGTAGACAGGAGCTGACTACCAAGGCAACCGTGAAGAGCCAGATTCATGAGGTGTGGGGATGCAGGTGATGAGCCAGGCTTCATCAACACTGGAGAATGTCTCAGTCACCTGCTTTTATCTTCGAAAGCCAGCTCCTTTTCAAGAAAACTAAAAACGTATGGAGAAAAATAACAGAGGAAAGGGAAGAGACGGCGACTGTGAGCAGTAAGACGTGGGCTGAGAGCTCAGTACCCTTGATGGGAAACCAAGAGTCGGAGTGCACAAGCAGAGCAAAGAACAGCTATGCAGCGGGAGGTGGCCACGCGGCCACTGAGGCCTTAATACGCAGCTCTCAAGAGACCCCAGCGCGTGTGCACGCGGGAGACGGAGAAACAGCACCATGGACTCGATCCAGAGACCCCAGCGCGTGTGCACGCGGGAGACGGAGAAACAGCACCATGGGCTCGATCCAGAGACCCCAGCGCGTGTGCACGCGGGAGACGGAGAAACAGCACCATGGGCTCGATCCAGAGACCCCAGCGCGTGTGCACGCGGGAGACGGAGAAACAGCACCATGGGCTCGATCTGAATTGAATGCAGCCACCTTGAAAGTTACAAAGCAGCACACATACCACATATAACAGGAGTACTAGTCATGTCCCTCAAACTCATGTCACCTCAGTAAAAGAAGAATCATCTGTGTTTATCTCTCAAATAGGTGGTTCATACTCTAAATAACAAAATACTATTTATGTGTTGCTGTCTTTCTCAGTACTGCGTATTCATGTTGATGTCATAATGGACATTATATTTTACATTTGTATCATCACAGAATTATGCAATGAGACAAGGTCACATAACCAAAACACTCATGAAAAAGGTGTTCCTTTAATTGTCACTTGAAATACGTAAACCTGTTCTTTCCATGACCAAAAACCGAGTTTAATGTAGAAGAAAACCTCACAGGAACATGGAAGAATTATACTAGAATCTCGCAGTGGGAAAAGCCTGTGATTCAACATCTGGAAGGTGTAAGAGCAAAGATGGATAAGTTCAACTATATTTAACAAAAACTTGTGCACGGCCAAAACAAACAAACAAACAAATAGAAACATCCTAGGTCAAAAGACGAGGGACAAACCAGGGAAAATATTCTTACTCGTGTCACAGACCAGGAGCCAACAGAAATTGGCAAGAAAAAGGCCAATATATGATGGAAAATGGCTGCAGAATATGAACAGACAGTTCACCAAAAAAAGAAAATTTAAAAGGCTCTTTTTTTTTTTTTGAGACAAAGTTTTGCTCTTGTTGCCCAGGCTGGAGTGCAGTGGCGCCATCTTGGCTCACTGCAACCTCTTCCTCCCGGGTTCAAGCGATTCTCCTGCCTCAGCTTCCCGAGTAGCTAGGATTACAGGCATGATACAAGCATGTGCCACCACGCCTGGCTAATTTTGTATTTTTAGTAGAGATGGGGTTTCACCATGTTGGTCAGGCTGGTCTCAATCTCCTGACCTCGTGATCCAGCTGCCTCGGCCTGCCAATGTGCTGGGATTACAGGTGTGAGCCACTGCACCCGGCCAAAGGGTTCTTAAACAAAAAAAAGGTATTCCCCTTCACTCATAATGAGAGAAATACAATAGCTGACAACATCTATCAACATCAGTCCAGCAATTCCATTTCTGGGAATTTATCCTACAAATAGATTTGACATCATAGTGCTATCTGTAAAAGTGGAAACTACCTAAATGACCAGAAAACTGGTTAAATAAACCATGGTATGCACACAACAGAATATTAAACAGTTAAAAGAAAAATAGAGAAGTTTTATTAAGTGAAAAGAATAGTATGAATAGCGCCCTTTTGTGAAGAAAAAGAAAGAAAAATAATATCTACTCATATCTGCTTATCTATGGTTAAGAAACTCAAAGAACTAACAGAACTGAAGTAATGGTTATCTTTGAGTAGAGGAAGTGGACAAGTAAGGCTATGGGGTGGGAGGAAGCCACTGAACTGTGTCTTTCATACTCTTTTATTTCTTTTCACTTTTAAACCATGTGAATGAATTACTTACTCAAAAGAGCAATGTAAAAACACATGTACACACATACACCTTTGAATGAGTAGCTCACCATAATTTCAGTTCCAAAACAGAGCCAAGGCTGGGCACAGTGGCTCACACCTGTAATCCCAGCACTTTGGGAGGCTGAGGCAGGAGGATCCCTTGGGGCCAGAAGTTTGAGACCAGCCTCGGCAACAGAGTAAAACCCCATCTCTATTTTAATTTTTTAAATTAATATCTTAAAAAAAACATGGCCGGGCGTGGTGGCTCACACCTGTAATCCCAGCATTCTGGGAGGCCGAGGCGGGTGAATCATGAGGTCAGGAGATCAAGACCATCCTGGCTAACACAGTGAAACCCTGTCTCTACTAAAAATACAAAACATTAGCCGGCTGTGGTGGTCGGCACCTGTAATCCCAGCTCCTTGGGAGGCTGAGGCAGGAGAATGGCATCAACCTGGGGGGCGGAGCTTGCAGTGAGCTGAGATGGTGCCACTGCACTCCTGCCTGGGCAATGGAGTGAGACTCTGTCTCAAAAAAAAAAAAAAAAGAAGAGTCAACACAGTGCATTCTCATTACTCTATGAAATTCTCCCTTCTTTTTTTTCTCGGAATTTATCAGTTCCATCAGTCTCTCTTCTATTCCTGGCAGAGGAGAGGAAGGCAGCCTTACCGAGCCCTCCTCCAGTGCCCGGCGCAGGTCCTGCAGATCCGCCTCGGGACACCAGACCTCGGCAATGAGGCACTTGTTGGTCACGTCAAAGCTGCACATGTTCAGCATGTGGTAGATGGCCTTCATTTTCTTCACCTGGATCACACGGCTGTAGACAGACTCGGCAGCTTTACATAGCACTTGCCTCAAATAGTCCTCGGTTTTGTGCAGTACCTAGGGAAGAACAACAGTGGAATGGGCATGTTTTGGTTTTTGTCCACCTGGCACCCGACTTCCTTTAGAGGACTTTCGCCCCATTGACAGAGGATCATTCCAGGCATCTGCCTATCCTGGTGGCAGCTAAGGGAGCCGTTCCTTCCTTCTCCTCCCTGCCCCTAGTACCACTCGGAGGTGGGCAGAAAAATCTAAGCTCAGTCAATCAGATGCCCTATTTTGGGAGGTTGCCTCTGGAGAACATGACCCTGGGGCACAGGAAATGGTGAGACGTCATTGTCACTGCAGCAGCATGGTGGTCTACCAGGGTCCAGCAAGCTCCCCGGGTTCCTACCCATTCCCAAGCTTGGCCTCGCCTCATCAACCCTGTGAGCCACCAACGCCCATCCCACCCTGCCAAGAAATCCTCTCTCGCTTAACTGAGTCAGAAGGACACTTCTTGCCAACAAGAATCCTCACTGTCATCAGGAGAAAAATGAATTTAAATCCTGCTGGTAAAATAATGCCCTCACCATGTTAACTGGGGCTGGCTTGTCTTGGGTGATCAAGAATTACAATCCAGACCAGGGGCAGTGGCTCATGCCTGTAATTCCAGCACTCTGGGAGGCCGAGGCAGGTGCATCACGAGGTCAGGAGATCAAGACCATCCTGGCCAACATGATGAAACCCCCTCTCTACTAAAAATACAAAAAAATTAGCAGGGATTGGTGGCACATGCCTGTAATCCCAGCTCGGGAGGCTGAGGCAGGAGAATTGCTTGAACCTGGGAGTCAGAGACTGCGGTGAGCTGAGATTACACCACAGCATTCCAGCCTGGCAACAGGGCATGATTCCACCTCAAAAAAAAAAAGGATTACAAGAATTACAATCCAGGCTGAGTGTGGTGGCGCACGCCTGTAATCCCAGCACTTTGGGAGGCTGAGGTGGGCGAATCATTTGAGGTCAGGAATTTGAGACGAGCCTGGGCAACGTGGTGACACTCTGCCTCTACTAAAAATACCACAGTTGGCCAGGCATGGTGGTGTACGCCTGTAATCCCAGCTACTCGGGAGGCTGAGGCAGAGATTGCTTGAACCCAGGAAGCAGAGGTTGCAGTGAGCTGAGATTACGCCACTGCACTCAAAGGCTGGGCAACAGAGCGAGACCGTCTCAAAAAGAAAAAAGAATTACCATCCAACATATCAAAGGTGACCACAGAATATTTGTTTAAAGCCATGTCATTACTACTCAGGTTCCTAACATGTTGCTAAAATAAAACTTCCATGGGGAAGAGGGAGGGAAGCAACATTCCAATCTCACTAGAACATCTTGATTTGTCTATGACCGATATTATCTATGTTAAAAAAACAGAGAAAATGTATGTGTAAATGTTTGGCAGCCCTCAGATAAGGAGGCATCCGCTCCCGGCTTACTCACAGTGTAGAGATCTTGAATGCGGGTGTTCAGCCCCTCCTGGATCTCCCTCCGCTCCTCGGCTGTGTTTGGATAGGGGTACACATGGCAGTGGTAGCTGGAAGACAGAGTTGAACATGCTCTCACATCTGTCAACACTAGAACTAAACACATTCACCTCCCTGGCACATCTTCTGGTAAAACGAAATGAAAGCAGTCATTTGGGAGACACGGGTGCAGACGCAGGCATCCGCCCTTGGTCAGGCCGTGCATACAGATGCTCAACAACCACCTGCTGAGTGAGACAAATTTAGCAAACTCCCTGTTGGATCCAAATTCCACTCCTGCCCTCAATGATTCCTGGCAGCTCATTCCCTATTCCAGCTTCCTAAAATTCAACAATATCCTTGGGCCTGGAATCACTGAACAGGTTTAAACACAAACACAAAGACACACACAGACACACACACACACACACACACACACACACACACAAAAACAAAAGGAGAAAAGAGTTCTGGCTTCCTAGCAATTGCCTTTGACAGAGTCTGCAGTCTCCCTGGCTCCTCTCAGGGCCACTCGGCACCCAGACTGCATGGGGGAATGCCGAGCTGTGTCCCCAAACTGCAGTCATTCCCAGACCACCTTCATATGTTAACACCATACTTTTATTTTTCTTTAAGTTCTGCCTCTGAAAAATTAAATACCTATTCTAGCCTTATCCTAAGCAACAATATCTGTGAAATCATGGGTTTGCTGAGCTGGGTATAGTTTTTTAATCGATAGTAAAACAAATATCTGTCTATGAAAATAAAAGGCTTATCCAGGGGACACCTGAAATTACTTTCTATTCCACCAATTGAGAACCAAATTCTAGTAAATAGAAAACACCCAAACCCCCCTCCACCCTGCAAGAAACAAGGCAAGCTGAGTTCTCCATTGGTGGAAGAAAGCAAAGGGGTGTTCTTTTGAGTTTTCTGACTTTGTTTGGCTTTTGCTTATGTTCCCATTTGCTGACAGGAGTAAGTCACACAACTCAAAATTACTGATGGCTTTTGTCGAACTGACATCTTTCACCTGATCATCTCATTTAGTCCTAAGAGACCTGTAAGAAAGCAATCACTCTCCCCTTTTACAGATGAAGAAACTGAGGCTTGGTCACTTGTCCAAGTGAGTCCAATGAGAGAGCGACACAGGGAGACTATGCATCCAGACAGGCCCCTGAGCACCCCTACTCACCACATGCCACACCCTGCCCCAGGGTACCCAGGATAGAAGTGGTGCCACATGCTCAGTGATAACAGATAAGCCCAATGGGCAGCTCAAAGCAACATGAAATCACAACATATGAAAACTTCATTCCTTTTTCAACCAATCTGAAGCCTTGATCCCCAAAGAAAAAAGTCAATTCTAGTAATATTATTAACACAGTCTCAACTTTTAAATTATTTTAAGTAATGCATTGGTAAGAGAGATGACAAATTAAATGTTTAAGAACTTGACAGTGCAGCAAAGAAATCATATAACAAAAACTAGCAGCCACTCTATTTCTGACTCCAGAGGGATATTGAAGGAAAACTTGAGGTGGTTGAATATAAAGACATAAATGAAATGTTTCTTTTTCTTACCAATCACAAATCTTCTTAACCTTGTGGCCAATCTGCTCTCCCCAAAAGGATATTAAAAAGACATACCATTTTATGACTTCCCCCTACAAAGAATGAATAAGAGTAAGTGTTACTTCTGTGTGTAGAACTTCTAGAACTTTGGCAGCTCAAACACTGTCAAAGCGTTCATTCATTAATTCAAAACAGTCAATCCTCCTTATTTGAGGATTCTGTAATTACAAATTCACCTACTTGTAATAACAGCCCCAAATCAATCCACAGAGCACTTTCAGTCATGTGCACAGCAGCCAAAAATTTTAGGCACCCGACACCCAGGTTCCCAGGTAAAGTCCAGCAAGGTGACGCCCTCCCTTCCCATCTCCACTCTCAGACTATCACCAAGCGTCCTTTTCAGAGTCTGTTTGGTGTCATGTTTTTCACACTTCTGTGTTTTTTTTGGTGATTTCACAGTATAAACAGCCCCAAGTGTAGGGCTGAGGTGTAGTCTGTTGTCCTGTGTCGCGGGAAGTCAGGGACCCTGAACGGAGGGACCAGCTGGAACCGTGGCAGAACAACATAAATTGTGAAGATTTCATGGACATTTATCAGTTCCCAAAAGTAATACTTTTATAATTTCTTACACCTGTCTTTACTGCAATCTCTGAACATACATTGTGAATATTTCATGGACATTTATCACTTCCCTAATAATGCTCTTATAATTTCTTATGCTTGTCTTTACTTTAATCTCTTAATCCTGTTATCTTCGTAAGCTGAGAATGTACGTCACCTCAGGAACACTATTGTACAAATTGATTGTAAAATGTGTGTTTGAACAATATGAAATCAGTGCACCTCGAAAAAGAATAGAGTAACAGTGATTTTCAGGGAACAAGGGAAGAGAACCACAAGGTCTGACTGCCTGTGGGATCGGGCAGAATAGAGCCATATTTTTCTTCTTGCAGAGAGCCTATAAACAGACGTGCAAGTAAGAGAGATATCACTGAATTCTTTTTCCAGCAAGGAATACCCTGGGGAAGGAATGCATTCCTGGAGGGAGGTCTGTAAATGGCAGCTCTGGGAGTGTCTGTCTTATCCGGTTCAGATAAGGACTGAAATACACCCTGGTCTCCTGCAGTACCCTCAGGCTTATTAGGGTGGGGGAAAGATCCCACTCTGGTAAATTTGAGGTCAGACCGGTTCTCTGCTTTCAAACCCTGTCTTCTATTGTTTAAGATGTTTATCATGACAATGCGTGCACAACCAAACATAGACCCTCATCAGTAATTCTAATTTTGCCCTTTGACTTGTGATCTTTGCTTTGCCCTTTGCCTTGTGATCTTTACTGCCCTTTAAAGCCTGTGATCTTTGGGACCTACTCCCTGTTCATACACCCCCTCCCCTTTTAAAGTCCTTAATAAAAACTGCTGGTTTTGCGGTTTTGTGGTTTAGGGGCATCATGGACCTGCCAATATGTGATGTCACCCCCAGCAGCCCAGCTGTAAAATTCCTCTCTTTGTACTCTTTATTTCTCAGACCGGCCGACACTTAGGGAAAATAGAAAGGACCTACGTTGAAATATTGGGGGCTGGTTCCCCCAACAGTCCTGAGCACAAGATGGCTGCGATGTGCCTGACGGAGATGTAGCGTGTGTTAGGGACACTTCATTCAGGTTCGAGTCACAGAGCTGCTGGCTGGGAGCTCAATGTAAATGACTCAACTCCTGTATTTCCCCTAGGAGCAGTGAGTTTTTCCATAGCTGATAATTTAGAGATTTCAGTGACTTGTTTTTTTTTTGAGACAGAATTTCTCTCTTGTTACCCAGGCCAGAGTACAACGGCACAATCTCGGCCCACCGCAACCTCCACCTCCTGGGTTCAAGCGATTCTCATGCCTCCGCCTCCCGAGTAGTTGAGATTACAGGCATGCGCCACCACACTCGGTTAATTTTGTATTTTTAGTATAGATGGGGTTTCTCCTTGTTGGTCGGGCTGGTCTCAAACTCCTGACCTCAGGTGATCCGCTCGCCTCGGCCTCTGAAAGTGTTGGGATTACAGGCATGAGCCACTGTGCTCGGCCCTCAGTGACTTTATGAAGCAAAACTACTGTAAATAATAAGAATCACCCTGCATTTACAAATATCCGACAAAGCAGAATTCTATAAAAACTGAATAGGTTTTTAGCCTATTTGCGAGACACTATTATAGGTGCTAAGGATATAGCAGTGAAGAAAACTGACAAAAATCCCTGACCTGGGAGGGGAAGGGAACTTAAACTTATATTCAACTTGACAGCAAAAGAAACAAAGAAAGTACGCCAGGTAGAGATAAGTGCTATACACAACAGATGCAGGATGAAGAGAGCGGAGAGAGGGCAGGCTTGGGCACTGTGATCTCACATAGGACGGGCAAGGAAGATCTCCCCGAGAAGGTGACATCTGAGCAATAAAGAAACGCAGGTGAGCTTCAAGTCAGGGTAAATGGAAAAAAAATTGCAGGAGGTGAGGACGCAAGCCCCATGGTCGCTGGGAGAAGAGACTTCCAAGCAGAGGAGAAGCACACACAGAAGCACGGTCGGGAGACTTGAGGAGGCCAGCATCGCCGGGGAGAGACATAGTAACACCAGCTCAGATATGACGAGGGCCACAGGCCCACTGTGCGGCTCCACAGGGCTTTTGCTGAGGAAGACAGGAAGCCCCTGGAGGGTTGTGAGTATAGGAATGAAATGATCTGACTGTGGTTTCCTGGGGATCATTCTGGATGCCAGGAGAAGAGACCAGGCTGAGGCAGAGGCAGGAGCAGGAGCCCAGTCAGGCGAGGCAGGTGCGGGACGAGACCTGGACCAGGAGGGAGGCAGAGCAAGGAGAAGCAGTTGGACTCTCTCTTTAGAAGAGATGGCCACCAGATCTGCTGAGGGATTCAAGTCAGATGTGAGAAACAGAGAAGAGTGGGGAGAAACCCAGGGCTTTCAGCCTGGGCAGTTAGATCAATGGGTCTGGAAGGGCAGGTTTGGGAAGAAAGATCAGATGTTCAGTTTTAGGCAAAAGCAGAAACGGTCTTCCAGATACTTAAACGGAGATATGAAGTAGATGGACATAAAAGTCCAGTATTCTGGGGACAGGTCCAAGCTAGGGATATATACATTTGAGGCATGGTATTTAAAATCATAAAATTATGTGAGATCCCTAAAGGCAGAAATGAGAGAGAAGCTGTCCAAAAATTGAGCCCTGGGCCCAGGGAACAGGAGAGCACAGACTGGGGAGCTACAGCATAGCATGGGCAGGTGGTGGTGGGAGGGAGGGGATGGCAGGAGGAGGAGATAGAGGATGTGGCTGGGAGAATGAATACAATGAATAAATGATGTCAGTTAATGGAGCCACCCACTAGACACGTTGAGGATAATGGAAGCCGACTTCACACTGTCAGAAAAGAGTTAGAACCAGGAAAAAGAGGCTGGGAACAGTAATCCCAACACTTTAGGGGGCCAAGGCAGGAGGATCGTTTGAGCCCAGGCCTGTAATCTCAACACTTTGTGGGGCAGAGGCAGGAGGATCATTTGAGCCCAGGAGTTCAAGACCAGCCTGGGCAACATGGTAGTGTGTCAACGAACACAACCACTTAAGGCACAAGGCAGAAGAAGTGCCACACACAACAGAAAAACACAAACTATACAACCAAAGAAAGCGCCCATGTCTAGCTTTGATGTAGAGAGAATGGTCAGCATTTAGAAATGACACCAATGGGGGAAAATGGCTAAAAATAGCCTCTAAGGACTGTAATGACTTCAAGAGGGTCAGACATTGAACCCAAAAGACACTAAACCTGACACTATAAACAAATCCTAGAACCTGAGTAAAAGTTACCAAATAAAATACCCCTATCTTACCCAGAAAAAGACTGAAAGAACATACACTTGTCATGTTAACAGTGGCTCAGAATAGGAGATTGCAAGTGACTTCTTTTTCTTCTTGTTTTCTACATTGTTCCCAATTTTCTATAATGGACATGCATTTTTTTTTTTTTTTTTTTTTTTTTTTTTTTGAGACGGAGTCTCGCTGTGTCTCCCAGGCTGGAGTGCAGTGGCGTGATCTCGGCTCACTGCAAGCTCCGCCTCCCGGGTTCACGCCATTCTCCCGCCTCAGCCTCCCAAGTAGCTGAGACTACAGGCGCCCGCCACCACGCCCGGCTAGTTTTTTGTATTTTTAGTAGAGACGGGGTTTCACCATGTTAGCCAGGATAGTCTCGATCTCCTGACCTCGTGATCCACCCGCCTCGGCCTCCCAAAGTGCTGAGATTACAGGCTTGAGCCACCGCGCCCGGCCGACATGCATTTTCTTTATAACCATGGGGATGGGGATCGTATTTTCAAGATATTCTCTGTATTCCTTCACAGATGTTTACTGCCCTTTAACATATTCCATAAAAATTTGGCATAAAGGCCAGGTGCGGTGGTTCATGCCTGTAATCCCAGCACTTTGGAAGGTCGAGGCGGGTGGATCACCTGAGGTCGGGAGTTCGAGACTAGCCTGACCAACATGGAGAAACCCCGTCTCTACTAAAAACACAAAATTAGCTGGGCGTGGTGGCACATGCCTATAATCCCAGCTACTAGGGAGGCTGAGGCAGGAGAATTGCTTGAACCTGGGAGGCGGAGGTTGCGGTGAGCCGAGATCGTGCCATTGCACTCCAGCCTGGGCAACAAGAGTGAAACTCCATCTCCAAAAAAAAAAAAAAAATTTGGCATAAGAGGCCAGGCACGGTGGCTCACGCCTATAATCCCAGCACTTTTTGAGAGGCAAAAGCAGGCAATTGCTTGAGGTCAGGAGTTCGAGGCCAGCCTGGCCAACATGGTAAAACCCCGTCTCCATTAAAAATACAAAAATTAGCTGGGCGTGGTGGCGGGTACCTGTAGTCCCAGCTGCTCAGGAGGCTGAGGCAGGAGAATCACTTGAACCCGGGAGGTGGAGGTTGCAGACTCATAAGAGAACTTACAAATTCTATTAAAAAAATTTTTGAGTAAATGCTCTGCATGAGAATTACTGATATTGTCTCTTAATAAGGAAAAAACTCAAAAAATATGTAAATGCTACCTTGGAACAGTTTTGATCTTAGTTTTAATCAGCTTGAAATAAAAAAGTCATCAAGGTCACAACTGAAGGATAATTAACAGATGGCCACTGGCAGTTACAAAAGTCACAAAAAAGTAGAAAACATTACAAGTGTGTGGTGAATGAAGGGCTTGACTGATTAGATTTCAAACGGATTAGATTTTTATTTTAGAAAACCAAAAATAAATCACAGGCTGGGCGTGGTGGCTCATGCCTGTAATCTCAGCACTTTGAGAAGCCAAGGAGGGTGGATCACTTGAGGTCAGGAGTTCAAGACCTAACTCCTGATCGTGTTTCAATATGGTGAAACCCCATCTCTACTAAAAATAAAAAAATTAGCCAGGTATGGCAGTCCACACCTATATAGTCCTAGCTACTCGGGAGGCTGAGACAGGAGAATTGCTTGAACCTGGGAGGTAGAGGTTGCAGTGAGCTGAGATCATGCCACTGCACTCCAGCCTGGGTGACAGAGTGAGACTCCATCTAAGAAAGTAAAAATAAATAAATAAATAAATAAAAACCAAATTTCTCTTTATTATGGGATGTATATTAATCTGGCAGCCAAAATTCCTGAGGCTAACCTAGAAAAAAAATAAGAACCTTTCCTCAAAATTAAGAAAACCAAGTTCCTTTTCCACCTTTAGTAGATCAGCAGTTCATCCTTATTTAAAGCAATAGTTATCTTTACTGTGAAGTCTAAAAAACAGAGATATCTTAAGGGTGACTATGACTCTGTCTCTCCCGCTGCCTCCATCCTCCCTTCTGAACCATTCAGCCCCACAGCTGTTAGGTGTGTACATGGGGATGGATGGGGTGGCGGGAGAGTAACTGGCCCACAGCAGTAAATGTATATGTGCATGTGCTCTGTGTCCCCAAGCTACCTCTGACAGAGCCAAGGAAAAGCAACCCCTCAATACCAATGGGCACACCCAGACGCCACATCTTGGCTTCAAAATACCAAGACTTGCACTCAAAAAAAAAAAAAAAAAAAGCCTCCTTGAAGAAACAGTTGATTCCAGAGCTGTGTGAGAGGAATTGCAACGTGCATCTGGACATCCTGTTGTACAAACAAGTGCTCAAAAAGTGATGGGAACGTGTAAAATGGATATAAAGGCCAGCCTGAATGGATTCCAACTGGCCAAATCTAGGAGAATGTGAATATCAAAATAAATAATTAAAGGAACAGGAACCTATCAAATAAAATAGGAAATAAACGAGGAAGCTGAAAACCTGATGACGAATGGGATATTTACAGTTTCAAACACAAAAAAGGAGTAACTTCACAGCAAAGCCTAGAGAGGAGTGCCTTCATCAAGTGATCAAAGTGACCACGACCAGTAACGGAACAAACAGAAATGTGTGGCACCTGACAGTGCAATGAGAAGAACACAGCCTCACTTCAGCAACGCTCCTGCCAGAGGCATGTGACCTGAACAGAATCATGAGAGGACACCTGAGAAACCCAAACCCAGAGACACGCTACCAAAACAACTTGTAATATTTTAAAATGTCAAGGTCACAAAAGCCAAGGAAAGTCTGAGACACTGTCCCAGAATAAAGGAGATCAGAGAGACAGGACAGGCCTGGCACGGTGGCTCATGCCTGTAATCCCAACACTTTGGGACGCCAAGGCAGGAGGATGGCTCGAGAACAGTCTGGGCAGCATAGTAAGATCCCCATCTCTATCAAAAATAAAAAGTAAATTTAAAAAAAAAACAAGCCAGGTGAGGAGGCTCACACCTGTAATCCCAACACTTTGGGAAGCTTTGAGAGGCCTGGGTGGGAGGATCGCTTGAGGCCAGGAGTTTGAGACCAGCCTAGGCAACACAGCGAGACCCCATCTCCTTAAAGAAAAAAAAAAGAAAGTTTAAAAAAAGAGAGAGACATGACAACTAAATCCAACATACGATGCCAAATTACATTCTTTGCTTTGACAATACTAGGACAACTGGTGAAACCTGAATGAGATTCAAGGCTCAGGATGTAGTAATGCATCTACATTCATTTCCTGACTGATGGTCATGTGATGGCAATGTAAGACGACGTCCCTGATTTCAGGAACTACACACACTACACATGGTTGAGGAGATAAGGCATCAGGTTAACAACTTATTATCAAATGGTTCAGGAGAAAAACATTCTTTCTACCACATCTCCAACTCTGCTGTTAGTCCATCATTGCTAAAAGGTGATGGTGACATTTACTCACTGTTTCAGGGTCTTCGAGGGATTCATCCAGTTCTGCATAGGACACAATGGTGTACCCTTTGCAGACTCTCCACAACATTTTTTCAAACGCTTCCACTTTTCCTTGGTTAATTAGGCCAGACACAAATCTGTGAGACAATAAAGTCGACCTGTAGTCAACTGAAAGCAATAAATGTTATCAAACTACATTAAGAGTGATGAAGACTTCATTTCTACCAATGGTGAAGACATCCTGAGAGCCCTCCAACTGCAAAACATCTCAGATACCGGGTAGAATATTTCTGAAACTTCTTTTTAAAGGTACAGATGAGCGTGTAACAAAGAGAAATTCTTGGCCGGGCGCAGCGGCTCATGCCTGTAATCCCAGCACTTTGGGAGGCCAAGGCGGGTGGATCACAAGGTCAGGAGTTCAAGACCGGCCTGGTCAAGATGGTGAAACTCTGTCTCTACTAAAAATACAAAAATTAGCCGGGCATGATGGTGGGCACCTGTAATCCCAGCTACTCGGGAGGCTGAGGCAGGAGAATCACTTGAACCCGGGAGGCGGAGGTTGCTAGAGTGTGACTGCACTCTAGCCTAGGCGACAGAGCAAGATTCCGTCTCAAAAAAAAAAAAGAGAAATTCTTGGAATTCAAAGGGAAAACAGGACCTCACAGCTGTCCTGATTCTTACACTGAATGCAGTATCTTAAGGCCTTGAGTTTAAGGCCAGCATGGGACACAGAAGCCAGGCACTGCATCTGGATAAGGTGAGCAGATATAACTGACACCCCTCTCCGGCTGGGACTGCTTCCATGCACAAAAGCTACACCTTCAGCGAAGAGGTGGACCAGAAAAAACCCACCTTGCAAAGGAGCCTGGAGCCTGCATGTAAACTTGTTTATTTCCGTTTTGGTTCTAGATGGAGGGAGAAGTCTTCCCTAAGAATTTATAACCACAGGTTAAAATTCACTCAGGTTTGAGGCTTAAATTGACATTCCTGGCACAGTCAAAAATCAAATCAACAAAAAGTCCCAATGCTGAGAAAAATATAAATGATTCCAGGTTGACAGAGCACTCCCAGGTACCTGACAAATGTCAAAACAAATTCTCTCTGGAGGAAAACATCCTCAAACTAAATATCACTGAATTCCTTCAGATCAGGAACTGTGAAATATGAGCTTATAATAACTTTAAAAATCACAAATCACACGAGGAAACAAATTACCATTAGTTTCAGTAGGCAGAAACAATAAACAGCAGAAGGAGATCTTTTTTAAAGTATGATTAATAAAAAAAACTAACCAACTCGATTTAGCCACCAAGTTTCTACTAGACAGGATTTGATGCCTGAATGACCAATTGTTTTAGGTTTATAGAACTAACACTGAATAACATAAATGTTGTTTCTTTCCAGCTCATTATACCAAAAGAAGAAATTTCCATTGTATTAAGTAAAAAAGTCAATACAGTTGAGTAATTCAGCTCAACAAGTATAGGAATACAGTGTTTTATTAAATAAATATTCACTCTTTCATTCAACCTTAGGCTTTAAAATGGTCTCCATTCATCCCTTCTATGGAATTCATCTGGCTTTTACAAGAAGGGCAGTATGAAGCCTGACACCCCAGGCCTTGTCACCTACCCCAGTTTTGCTCCCAGCCTCTGCATACAGCTGTAATCCAACAAAGAATCACTCTCTAAGGAAGGGAATTCTTCGTAAGTGGGTTCAAACTAGAAAGAAACATATGAAACCAAGTGTGTCTCATTAAAAGTGACACTTCATTTCTCATGTCAAATTTTCAAACAAGTTTATAGGGCATCCTAACTAACTACTTAGATCTGGGTGCAAAACCTTCTAAGGTAACTTAGATCTGTAACTCAAGTCTCATAAATGAAAACATAACTTCCCCATTCCTTACTTGTAAGCCACTTGAAGACATTTACATAAAAGACAGTTATAATCTAATTTATTGCCTTCATCCACGATAGAATAACTTTATCAAAGATCACTATTATATCAAGTGAAACTAAGTTTGGGACAGATGCACTTGTCTCTTCTATATTTAGCTCTGTAAGGTGCTACTACATGACTATTCTTTATTCTTATAATTTTTTTTTTTTTTTTTACACACAGCGTACAGGATCTCACTCTGTTGCCCAGGCTGGAGTTCTGAGTTCTGTGGCACAATCATAGCTTACTGCAGCCTCAAACTTCTGGGCTCAAATGATCCTCTCACCTCAGCCTCCCTGGTAGCTAGGACTACAAGTTTGCACCACCATGCTCAGCTAATTTTTATTTTTTGTATAGACAAGGTCTCACATTAATTCTCACTATATTCAGGCTGGTCTTGAATTCCTGGTCTCAAGCCATCCTCTGGCTTTGGCCTCCTAAAGTGCTGGGATTACAGGTGTAAGCCACTGTGTCTGACCTATTCTTAGAAATTATAGATTATTCTTTTACTTCCTTTACTTAGCAATTTGGAAAAACTAAATTTTAGAGTTCAACATCCTTCATTCAATTTTTTTCCCATGCTCATAAAAATTTTTTTCAACCACAAACTAAACCTTTTATAAATATTTAGTATTATACTTGCTTAAAACAACCAACACAGGAATGGCTCTTAAAACTTTATTTAAAGTCATATAATCCAACTGAAAAATAAAACCAAGGTTTAAATTTAATCTCTTAAGTCTGGGCATGGTGGCTTACTCCTGTAATCCCAGCACTTTGGGAGGCCGAGGAAGGCAGATCAACTGAGGTCAGGCGTTCAACACCAGCCTGGCCAACATGGTGAAACCCAATCTCCACTAAAAATACAAAAAATTACAGGCACGGTGGCGGGCACCTGTAATCCCAGCTACTCGGGAGGCTGAGACAGGAGAATGGCGTGAACCCGGGAGGCGGAGGGTGCAGTGAGCCGAGATCCCGCCACTGCCCTCCAGCCTGGGCAACAACAGAAAAATTCTGTCTCAAAAACAAAACATAAAGTTAACTAACTAACTAAATAAATCAATAAATAAATTTAATCTCTTTAAAAAAGCAACATATCTACATAAACTAACAGCAAAATACATAGCCTGTGGGAATGAGATTTTTATAAAATAATTGTATTTCCTCACAAGCTGTTCAGTACCTCAACGTTGCGTTTCACAAAGGTTTGTGTCACTCTCAGCATGTGAGTGTACTCAATCAGTTCCAGCAAGTTTTTCCTCAGTTTCTCCTTGTTCTTAGTGACTTCTCTCAGTTCAACCTCGAGCTTCTGCAACTGCTCCTAAAACAAAATAATGGTTACTTAAGCGAGCGGATTACTTCCAAGTGTGATTCCAATAATCTTCATATAGTATAACAGAAACAGTGGCGGTTTTTTTGTTGTTTTGTTTTTGTTTTTGTTTTTGAGATGGAGTCTCCCTCTGTCGCCCAGGCTGGAGTGCAGTGGCACAATCTTGGCTCACTGCAATCTCCACCTTCTGGGATCAAGCGATTCTCCTGCCTCAGCCTTCCCGAGGAGCTGTGACTACAGTTGCACACCACCACGCCCGGCTAATTTCTTTTGTATTTTCAGTAGAGACGAGGTTTCACTATGTTGGCCAGGCTGGTCTCAAACTCTTGACCTCAGGTAATCCACCAACCTCACCCTCCCTGCCTCTAGTAAAAATACAAAAAAATTAGCGGGGCGTGGTGGCATATGCCTGAAATCCCAGCTACACAGGAGGCTGAGGCAGGAGAATCACTTGAACCGAGGAGAAGGAGGTTGCAGTGAGACGAGATGGTGCCACTGCACTCCAGCTTGGGTGATAGAGCAAGACTCCGTCTCAAAATAAATAAATAAATAGGCCCATTTATTGTTTCATACTAATTCTGGTAATTTCTGTGAAATTCACGCCACATATGAGCGAAAACATTCTGGAGGCTGTGATGAGCATGAGACCCCCAAGACTGGCCCTCTTCTCTAACCACAGGCGCTATCATTTCTCTCGGATTTCCTTTGTCTGCTTATCCATATCACACATCAAAGACTCTTCCTCTTTAAGTCTACATTTCCTTTCTTTGCAACACAGAATATGTTTAGATAATCTTTTCTAACATATTTTCCTAGCATATGAGTCTATAGACTCACATTTACACAATTAATTGAGGATAAAAATTCCTGAGAATCGGCCAGGCGCGGTAGCCCACGCCTGTAATCCCAGCATTTTGGGAGGCCAAGGGGGGTGGATCACGAGGTTGGGAGTTCAAGACCAGTCTGGCCAAGATGGTGAAACCCCGTCTCTACCAAAAATACAAAAATTAGCCGGGCGTGGTGGTGCATGCCTGTAATCCCAGCTACTCGGGAGGCTGAGGCAGGAGAATTGCTTGAACCCAGGAGGTGGAGGCTGCAGTGAGCCAATATTGTACCACTGCATGCACTCTAGCCTGGGCGACAGAGCAAGACTCCGTCTCAAAAAAAAAAAAAATTCATGAGAATCTTTAATAATTAGTTACATACTAAACATCCTTAAAAATACTTAAGTATTAAAACAACAGAAGCAAAAATCTGTAAAGCAAATCACTGAGTCAATCAAAACTTATATTCAAACAAATCACTTAACATACTACATTCAATACTTCTGCTTTGCCTTGCAAACACTGTACACAGTCATCACTGTTTGTAATTGTATCACAAGCGACCCATCGAACAGGCCAAGCCAGATGACTGCTGTTACTCGTGTGGTTGGAGGGTTCTCTCTGGAGTCTCCTGCACCAAGTGCTGAAAGACTTCCTCCCAGATAAACACAGAGGAGCCAGCTACCGAATGGTGTCAGGTACACAATGATAATTGTTTTAGAAGAGTCATCAAGAGCTCTGGCCTACTTCACAGGGTGAGGAACAAATTCACGGAGGATATTAATAAACAGAACAGGTGAGTGTTCTCACCAGGGACACGTGTATCCCCAGCACACCAGCCAGCGAACTCAGGGTGACACAACGCTGCTTGCGGCCCACCCGAGACAAGCCACAGACTGCATACCAGCTTCCAAAATTTACAGAGGAAGGGCCAGGGTAAATGCGGGAGGACTGTGAAGGCACACCACCGAAGCCTCAATTCCTTGCACAAGAAGAGGCAGCTAAGGCATGGGTGACCCTGGGATGAGCTTTCTGAAACAGTACAGGATCATCAACCAGGCTTGCTGGCCTGATTCTTGTTGCCTCTGTTCACCACCAGCTGGAAAGGAAGCATATGCCTTACACGGCAAAAGAAAACTGAATTACCATTAAAACTCATCACAGATAATCTATTACTGAGGGTTAATCATAATAGTGGTCTTTAATCTCTCTGCCTAGAGAGATCACCATCTTCCGTGGTTTTGAGAAGAAAGGCAGAAAAGCATTAGACAATATGAAATATGTAAGTAAGCAGCCCCTGAGATCAACGGCTGCAAACAGCTTTGTCAGAAGCAAGTTACCTGCATTTCTAGAACCTGTTTCAGGGGTGGCGCAGGAGGGCTGGTCTCTCCTTCAGGAAGGGGAATATCAGCTCTATTAATTTCCTGAACCAAATACACTGTGAAAATAAAAGTTAAACAATTAGATACTAAAATACATTTCAGTCAGAAATGTATTCAGTACTATAATGCATTCAGTACTATAATACATTTCAGTCAGAAACATTTTAAAGCCCAGCCTTTCCCAAGCCATCTAAAAATCAATGTCTAAACGCACAAAAATCTTGCTTGTTCCAACTGACTTATTGGTCACTTTCTGCAACCTTGTTTCCAAAACTAATGCTGCCCAGAGAGATCTGCATGCAGTGACAGAATAAACAACAACGTCTTCTGTCTCTTAGTGACTTAACAAATAAATAAATAGAACGAACAACAACCTGGACAAACCTTTTCTGAAATTCCACCCCACTTTTTTCATTTCTAATATTCTAGTTAAAGAACTTTTGAGTCACAGTCGTCTCCACATGTGCAGAATGAAGCAGAGGTTAGGGGTACGCTTGGAAGTGCAGGAATAACCCAAGTAATAGACCTACAATACCCCTACGGGAGCTGGCAACGTAAGTTCTCTGCAGATGTCCTCAGAAAGAGATCGGCATCCATCAGTCCATCAAGAAAATCACAACTACTACCAGGAAACCCACCCAGCACCAAGAGCCAGGCTCTCTTGCAGCTCTCAGTCAGCCCTGAAGCTATGGCTGAGGACAACCTGCACTGCTTCACCACTGAGGTTAAAAACTAGATTCAGAAGCTTGGCTGGGTCTTGCAGTCGCTGCCATCGGCAGTCTGGGGGGCGAGTGTCAGGGTGGCCCTAGAAATGCGCAAGTTCATGAAACCTGGGAAAGTGGTGCCAGTCGTGGCTGGACGCTACTCTGGACACAAAGCCAATCCTCATGAAGAACACTGATGATGGCACCTCAGACTGCCCCGCAGCCACACTCTGGTGGCAAAAATAGACCATTATCCCCACAGTGACAGTTGCCATGGGCAAGAAGATCGCCAAGTGGTCAAAGGTCAGGTCTTTTGTGAAGGTTTATAACTATAATGCCCTCATGCCCACAAAGTACCCTGTGGCGAACCCCTTGGACAAAACCATCAGGTCTTCAGAGACTCTGCCCTTAAATGCAAGGCCCAATGGGAGGCCAAGGTCAAGTTCAAAGAGTGGTACAAGACTGGCAAGAACAAGTGGTTCTTCCAGAAGCTGTGGTTTTAGATGTTTTTTGTTTCAGTCATTAAAAATAAAATAAAATAAAAACTAGATTCATGAAACTAATAGTACACCAGCCAAAATTAACTACTTTGTTTGGTTTATGTTTTCAATTCCATGAAGCATTCCTTTCCTTAGCCTAAAAGTCACAATACCTGTTAGTCATTATCAGGCCTAATATTTAGAAGTGTTACTAACTGGTTTACAAAGGGAGAGAGGCAGGTAAAGAAGGAAGGAAGAAAAACAAAAAGAAAAGAAACTGTCTTGCCAAGATAGCAAAGGAAGCACTGGGCTTAAGAGGTTTCTAGAAATGAATGCAAATTGTTTTAACCAATTTATACTTCTGTCAGGCCTCTGAACCCAAGCTAACCCATCATATCCCCTGTGACCTGCACGTATACATCCAGATGGCCTGAAGCAACTGAAGATCCACAAAAGAAGTGAACATAGCCTTAACTGACGACATTCATAAACCACCACTGTGATTTGTTTCTGCCGCACCCTGACAAATGTACTTTGTAATCTCCCCTACCCTTAAGAAGGTTCTTTGTAATTCTCTCGACCCTTGAGAATGTACTTTGTGAGATCCACCCCCTGCCCACAAAACATTGCTCCTAACTCCACCGCCTGTCCCAAAACCTATAAGAACTAACGATAATCCCACCACGCTTGCTGACTCTCTTTTCGGACTCAGCCCGCCTGCACCCAGGTGAAACAAACAGCCTTGTTGCTCACACAAAGCCTGTTCGGTGGTCTCTTCACACGGCTGCGTGAGACATGGTGCGGAAGACCGGGGTCAGAGGGACTTCTTCGGGAGACCAGCCCCCTGTCCTCGCCCTCACTCTGTGAGGAGATCCACCTACGACCTCGGGTCCTCACACTAACCAGCCCAAGGAACCTCTCACCAATTTCAAATTGGGTAAGCGGTCTTTTCACTCTCTTCTCCAGCCTTTCTCGCTACCCTTCAGTCTCCCTCTGTCACTACACTTCAATCTCCCTGTCTTTCCAATTCCAGTTCTTTTTCCTCTCTAGTAGAGACAAAAGAGACATATTTTATCCGTGGACCCAAAACTCCAGCGCCGGTCATGGACTCGGGAAGGCAGCCTTCCCTTGGTGTTTAATCATTGCGGGGACGCCTGCCTGATTATTCACCCACACTCCACTGGTGCCTGATCTCCGCGGGGACGCCTGCCTTGGTCATTCACCCACATTGCTTTGGTGGCAAGTCAATTGTGGGGACGCCTGCTTTGGCTGCTCACCCACATTGCAGCCCAGGGCTGCTCCCCACTCCCTTCTCTGTGTCTCTACCCTTCTTTTTAAACTTGCCTCCTTCACTGTGGGCAACCTTCCACCCTCCATTCCTCCTCCTTCTCCCTTAGCCTGTGTTCTCAAGAACTTAAAACCTCTTCAACTCTCACCTGACCTAAAATCTAAGGGTTTTATTTTCTTCTGCAACACCGCATGGCCCCAGTACAAACTCGACATAGTTCCAAGTGGCCAGAGAATGGCACTTTCGATTTGTCTATCCTACAAGATCTGGATAATTTTTGTCGAAAAATGGGCAAATGGTCTGAGGTGCCTGACGTCCAGGCATTCTTTTACGCATTGGTCCCTCCCTAGTCTCCGCTCCCAGTGAGACTCGTCCCAAATCTTTCTTCTTTCTCTCCTGGTCTGTTCTTCAGTCTCCACCCCAAGCACTGAGTCCTCTGAATCCTTCTTTTCTATGAACTCATCTGACCTCTCCCCTTCTCCCCAGGCTGCTCCTCGCCAGGCCAAGCCAGGTCCCAATTCTTCCTCAGCCTCTGCTCCCCCACCCTATAATCCTTCTATCACCTCCCCTCCTCACACCTGGTCCGGTTTACAGTTTCGTTCTGCGACTAGCTCTTCCCCACCTGCCCAACAATTTCCTCTTAGAGAGGTGGCTGGAGCTGAAGGCACAGACAGGGTCCATGTGCCTTTTTCTCTATCAGACCTTCCCCAAATCAGCCAGTGTTTAGGCTCTTTCTCATCAGACCCCACTAAATATAAACAGGAATTCCGATATCTAACTCTGTCCTACAATTTAATCTGGAGTGACTTTAATGTCATCCTAACTTCTACCCTCTCCCCAGATGAACGGGGGAGCCCAATCTCATGCTGATAAGCGCCGGCTTCATGAGCCAGACCTCCAGGAAGGCATTAGAGCAGTTCCCTGAAAAGATTCCCAATGAAACTATCAGGCAGATTCCCCAGGTATAGCTAGGCAAGATTACATGGTTTCCTGCCTAGTTTAAGGGCTTAAAAAGGCAGCTTACAAAGCTTTTAATTATGACAAACTTAAAGAAACTACCCAAGGTAAAGACGAAAACCCAGCCCAGTTCATGGCCCGCTTAGCAGCAACCCTTAGACACTTCACCACCCTAGACCCAGAGGGGCCAGAAGGCCGCCTTATTCTTAATGCGCATTTTATCACCCAGTCAGTTCCTGACATTAGAAAAAAGCTTCAAAAATTGGAATCTGGCCCTCAAACCCCACAACAGGAATTAATCAACCTCGCCTTCAAGGTGTACAATAATGGAGAGGAGGCAGCCAGACAGCAATGCATTTCTGAGTTACAGCTACTTGCCTCTGCTGTAAGACAACCCACAACGTCTTCAACATACAAGAACTTCAGAACATCCAAGCCACAGCTCCCAGGGGCTCCTTCAAAACATCCCTGTGGACCTTGCTTCAAATGCCAAAAGCCTGGCCACTGGGCTTCAGAAGGCCCGCAGCCCAGGATTCCTCCTAGGCTGTGCCCTATCTGTGCCGGCCCCCACTGCAGGTCAGACTGTCTGACTCACATCACCGCCACTCCTAAAGCCCCTGGAGCCCAAACCCAGCGTTCCTTGGCTGACTCCTTCCCAGATCTCCTCGGCTTGGCAGCTCAAGACTGACGTTGCCTGATTGCCTTGGAAGCCCCCCACCGAGCTTCAGGTAACTCTTACAGTGGAGGGTAAGTCCGTCCCCTGTTTAATCCATACGGAGGCTACCCACTCCACATTACCTTCTTTTCGGGGGCCTGTTTCCCTTGCCTCCATAACTGTTGTGGGTATTGACGGCCAGGCTGCTAAACCTCTTAAAACTCCCCAACTCTGGTGCCAACCTGGACAACATTCTTTTATGCACTCTTTTTTAGTTATCCCCACCTGCCCAGCTCCCTTATTAGGTCAAGACATTTTAACTAAATTATCTGCTTGCCTGACTATTCCTGGGCTACAGCCACATCTCATTGCTGCCTTTTCCCCCAGTTCAAAGCCTCCTTCGCATCCTCCCCTTGTATCTCCCCACCTTAACCCACAGGTATGGGACATGTCTACCCCCTCCTTGGTGATGGATGACCCCTTACCATCCCATTAAAACCTAATCACTCTTACCCCGCTCAATGCCAATATCCCATCCCACAGCACACTTTAAAAGGATTAAAGCCTGTTATCACTTGCCTGTTACAGCATGGCCTTTTAAAGCCTATAAACTCTCCTTACAATTCCCCCATTTTACCTGTCCAAAAACCAGACAAGTCTTACAGGTTAGTTCAGGATCTGTGCCTTATCAACCAAACTGTCTTGCCTATCCAACCTGTGGTGCCAAAGCCATATACTCTCCTATCCTCAATACCTCCCTCCACAACCCATTCTGTTCTAGATAAACCTAGATGACCCCATAAATCCTAAATCCTTTCCCCACTCCCCTTTCCATTCCTTAAAAAACAGCCCTAAAAGCTGCTCCCGCACTAGCTCTCCCTAACTCATCCCAACCCTTTTCATTACACACAGCCGAAGTACAGAGCTATGCGGTCAGAATTCTTACACAAGAGCTGGGACCGCACCCTGTAGCCTTTCTGTCCAGACAACTTGACCTTACTGTTTTAGCATAGCCCTCAACTCATGTCTGTGTGCAGCGGCTGCCGCTGCCCTAATACTTTCTGAGGCCCTCAAAAATCACAAACTATGCTCAACTCACTCTCTACAGTTCTCATAATTTCCAAAATCTATTTTTTTCATCATACCTGACACTTTCTGCTCCCTGGCTCCTTCAGCTGTACTCACTCTTTGTTGAGTCTCCCACAGTTACCATTGTTCCTGGCCCCCCACATTATTCCTGATACCACACCTGACCCCCATGACTGTATCTCTCTGATACACCTGACATTCACTCCATTTCCCCATATTTTCTTCTTTCCTGTTCCTCACCCTTATCACACTTGGTTTATTGGTGGCAGTTCCACCAGACCTAATCACCACACACCAGCAAAGGCAGGCTATGCTATAGTATCTTCCCCATCTATCATTGAGGCCACCACTCTGCCCCCCTCCACTACCTCTCAGCAAGCCGAACTCACTGCCTTAATTCAAGCCCTCACTCTTGCAAAGGAATTACGCATCAATATTTATACTGACCCTAAATACGCCTTCCATATCCTGCACCACCATGCTGTCATATGGGCAGAAAAGAGGTTTCCTCACTACGCAAGGGTCCTCCATCATCAATGCCTCTTTAATAAAAACTCTTCTCAAGGCTGCTTTACTTCCAAAGGATGCTGGAGTAATACACTGCAAGGGCCACCAAAAGGCATCAGATCCCATCGCTCAGGGCAACGCTTATGCTGATAAGGTAGCTAAAGAAGCAGCTAGCATTCCAACTTCTATAACCCAAGGCCAGCTTTTCTCCTCCTCATTGGTCACTCCCACCTACTCCCCTACTGAAACTTCCACCTATCAATCTCTTCCCACACAAGGCAAATAGTTCTTCGGCCAAGGAAAATATCTCCTTCCAGCCTCACGGGTCCATTCTATTCTGCCGTCATTTCATAACTTCTTCCACGTAGGTTACAAGCTGCTAGCCTGCCTCTTAGAACCTCTCATTTCCTTTCCATCGTGGAAATCTATCCTTAAGGAAATCACTTCTCAGTTGTTCCATCTGCTATTCTACTACTCAGGCCCTCTCCCTTCCCTACACATAAAGCTCAGGGATTTGCCCCTGCCCAGGACTGGCAAACTGACTTTACTCACATGCCCTGAGTCAGGAAACTAAAGTACCTCTTGGTCTGGCTAGACACTTTCCTGGATTGTTAGAGGCCCTTCCCACAGTGTCTGAGAAGACCACCGCAGTTATTTCTTCCCTTCTGTCAGACGTAAGTCCTTGGTTTGGCCTTCCCACCTCTATACAGTCCGATAAGGGACCAGCCTTTATCACTCAAATCGCTCAAGCAGTTTCTCAGGCTCTTGGTATTTAGTGGCTCATGGTTTTACCTCAAATGGCCACCCCTTAAGTCTCTCTTGAAGTGGATAGAAGATCTTCAGTGGCACGGTACCCTCCAAACTTTCAACCTGATGAAGTCCTATTCTTTACTTTTATATCCACTCTTATTCTGGTTCCCGTTCTCCTCTACCTCTCCCCAGCTATCTCCACCATCCTATCAAACTCACTCTCTCCTAGTCGTTTCTAATCCTTCTTTAACAAACAATTGCTGGCTTTGCATTTCTCTTTCCTCCAAAATCAACGAGGCCCTGACTTACTCACTGATAAAAAAAAAAGAGGAGGGACTCTGTATATTTTTAAATGAAGAGTGTTTTCACCTAAATCAATCTGGCCTGGTATATGACAACATAAAAAAACTCAAGGATAGCACTCACTAGCCAACCAAGCAAATAATTATGCTGAACCCCGTTGGACACTCTGTAATTGAATGTCCTGGGTACTCTCAGTTCTTAGTCCTTTAATACCTGTTTTTCTCCTCCCCTTATTTGGACCTTGTGTCTTTCATTTAGTTTCTCAATTCATACAAAACCGCATCCAGGCCATCACCAATAATTCTATATGACAAATGCTCCTTCTAACAACCCCACAATATCACCCCTTGCCCCAAAATCTTTCTTCAGTTGAATCTCCCCCACTGTAGGTTCCCATGCTGACCCTAATCCCACTTGAAGCAGCCCTGAGAAACATCACCCATTATCTCTCTATACCACCCCCAAAATTTTTTGCTGCTCCAACACTTCACTATTTTGTTTTGCTTTTCTTATTAATATAAGAAGATAGGAATGTCAGGCCTCTAAGTCCAAACTAAGCCATCATATCCCCTGTGACCTGCATGTATACATCCAGATGGCCCGAAGCAACTGAAGATCCACAAAAGAAGTGAAAATAGCCTTAACTGATGACATTCCACCACTGTGATTTGTTTCTGCCCCACCCTAACTGATCAATGTACTTTGTAATCTCCCCCACCCCTGAGAAGGTTCCTTGTAATTCTCCCCACCATTGAGAATGTGCTTTGTGAGATCCACTCCCTGCCCGCAAAACATTGCTCCTAACTCCACCACCTGTCCCAAAACCTATAAGAACTAATGATAATCCCACCACCCTTTGCTGACTCTCTTTTTGGACTCAGCCCCCCTGCACCCAGGTGAAATAAACAGCCTTGTTGCTCACACAAAGCCTGTTTGGTGGTCTCTTCACACGGACGTGTGAGACAACTTCAATTTATTCTTTTTTTTTTTTTTAAGAGACAGGGGTCTCACTATGTTGCCCCAGGCTGGCCTCGAACTCCTGGGCTCAAGAGAGCCTCCCACCTCTACCTTCAGAGTAACTGAGACTATAGGCATGTGTACCACCATGCCTGGTGTACACCTAAATTTCCCTGAGAGGTCCTTTGTCACTGTTTTAAGTCTGCATTCTTATGGGGTCATACTCTGCTGCCCAGGCTGGAGTACAGTGGTGTGTCATCCTGGCCCGCAATAACCTCAAACTCCTGGGCTCAAGCAATTCTCTCATCTCAGCCTCCCGAGTAGCTAAGACTACAGGCACAAGCCACCATGCCTGGCTAATTTTATTTTTTGTGGAGACAGGGTCTCAGTATGTTGCCCAGACTGGTCTCAAACTCCTGGACTTAAGTGATCCTCCCACCTTGGCCTCCCAAAGTGCTGGAATTATATGCATGAGTTATCATGCCCAGCCCTGCATTCTTTTGAAACAGTTTAAGCTACAAGAAGTCCTGGATATGCCTAATGTGTTATCACATTTGCCCTGCCTTTAAAAACCTCATCCTGTAGACACCATCTGTCCAATGATTCATCCAGGTTGCAAAGACAGGAATATGATGCCACTAACATACATGAGCCACACAAATAACTAGGACCTCAAGCAATATGACTAGGACTAGATTTCAGATGACTAAAATTTCCTGTTACTCTTAAAAATCCCCAATTTAAACAAATAGGCCGGGTGTGGTGGCTCACGCCTGTAATCCCTAAACTCTGGGAGGCCGAAGCCGGAGGATCGCCTGAGGTCAGGAGTGTAAGGTCAGTGGACAGAAAGGAAGAACAGACCCAAAGTCAGGCGAGTAAGTTTACTGAACCTGCCAGCTGCTCCACCACAGAGGAGGCGGCCTTGAACTTACAAAATGAAGGGTTTGTGTGGGGGAGAGAGACCCTGGGGTCGTTCGTTGATTAACTTTGCCATATATCACCTTGTGACCTTTATGGTAGCAGCTAGGTGAAGGAACTTACAGGAGGATGTAGGCAAAGTTTGTTCAGGCTTTCCAGACCTCCCCCTGTGCAGTCCGGATGGTTTGTAATTGTGGTTTGCTTATCGCAGGAAGATCTGATAAGTGAAGTCTGCTGGCTTCACTTCCGTGCCTAGATAAGGGCTTAGAAATGTAAAGGGGCTCAGGGGGAAGGGTGGGCGACAGAGAGAGGAGTTGCAGAGCATAAGGGGGAGTGGTGGGCAGCACAGAGAGGTTTGGGGCAAGTATTAGCAGTACCAAGAAGCTTTTTTGGGGCAGTTTGTCCCTAACAAGGAGTTCGAGACCAGACTGGCCAACATGGTGAAACTCCATCTCTACTAAAAATACCAACATTAGCCAGGTGTGGTGGCACACACCTATAGTCCCAGCTACTAGGGAGGCTGAGGCAGGAGAATCGCTGGAACCCACGAGGCAGAGGCTGCAGTGAGCCGACATCATGCCACTGCACTCTAGCCTGGGTGATGAAGCGAGACTCCATCTCAAAAAAAAAAAAACAAAAAACAAGCTTTGTCCTTCAGTTGACTGTTATTTTCCCTCCACTTCAGTGAGAACGTCAAGGCTTGATTTGATAATGACTAATATCAGGCTAAGATGGGAAAGATTTTAGAGATAAAAGAAGTGGCCCTGGGCTACTGAGTTGAAATGGTTAACAATCAGCACTGATCAAACACTGGCAAAGGAAGCCCTGAGAAAAAGGAAATTATTGTCAACCAATCCATCTGCCATTTTCTGCCTCCCTTGTTCCTTGATAAATTAAGCAACTTATTAACATGTACAATGTTTTTAAGTTATAATAAACTACAAGGGATCGGTTAAATAAGCCATGGCACATTAATATTAATACAATCAAATACTATGCTGCCGTCAAAAACGACGATGGGCCAGAATCTATGTCTACTAATATTAATACAATCAAATACTATGCTGCCGTCAAAAACGATGAAGAGCCAAAATCTATGTCTACTGACACGAAAAGATGTTACAGTATAGTAAGCACTGTCAAGTAAAAAACAAGGGTGACAATAAAATAACCAGGCCGTTATGTTTGTAAATTTTTACTTTAATAGATGAATTAAAAACACAGAAAAATAATACATGCCTACATAACTGTGATTACTTCTGAATGATGAGAATACAATTTCTTTTTTTCCTTCCTGCTTCTCTGTATTTTCCAGTATTTCTAAACCAAACAAGGTTTGCCTATATAAAGGTAATTATTTAATTTACTAAATCAGAAAATAAACTTACCCAATATTCGCTCTAGCTCTTCACACCTCTTCACTTCTCCAACAAATTTTCTTTGGAAAGTACTTATGTTCTGGTTGAGCTGAGAAATGGATGAAAAATATGGCTTAAATTTCTAAAATTTAAAAATACGTTTATGTAAAAAATAAAACATCACCAAAGTGTGGGGGACATACGCTCTTATATACTATTGAATGGAACTATAAACTGACACAACTTTCTGGAGAGCAATCTATCAACTGTTATCAGAAAAGCCTGAAAATCCAGCCAGGCCAACACCATGAAACCCCAAGTCTGCCAAAAATACAAAAATTAGGCCAGGCGCAGTGGCTCACACCTGTAATCCCAGCACTTTGGGAGGCGGATCAGTTGAGGTCAGGAGTTCCAGACCAGCCTGGCCAACATGGTGAAATCCCATCTCTACGAAAACACAAAAATTAGCCAAGCATGATGGCAGGTACCTGTAATTCCAGCTACTCGGTAGGCTGAGGTGGAAAAATCACTTGAACCCGGGAAGCGGAGGTTGCAGTGAGCCAAGATCGTACCATTGCACTCCAACCTGGGCAACAGGGCAAGGCACTATCTCAAAAAAAAAAAAAAAAAATTAGCCGGGCGTGGTGGCGCACCTGAGTAACCCAGCTACTTGGAAGGCTGAGGCACAAGAATTGCTTGAGCCCAAGAGGCAGAGGTTGGATGGAGCCAAGACTGCACCACTGCACTCCAGCCCAGGTGACAGAGTGAGACCCTGTCTCAAAAAAAGAAAAAATCCTGAAAATGATTATTTGCCCAGCAATACCCCATGAAGAAATTTAACCTAAGGAAAAAGCTATGGAAACAGATAAAAATTTATCTATGACAACATCAATCTCAGGGAAAAAGAAAAAATGATAACCCAAAAATCCAACAATAGAAAACTGGTTAAAGAAATTACAGTCAGCATAGTTAAAGAAATTATAGCCAGGCACAGCAGCTCGCATTGATAATCCCAGCACTTTGGGAGGCTGAGGTGGGAGGACTACTTGAGGCCAGTAGTTTGAGGCCAGCCTGGGCAACATGGTGAGACACCATCTCTACAAAAAATAAAAATATAGCCAGGCCTAGTGGTGCACGCCTGTGGTCCCAGCTGCTCAAAAGGCTATGGCAGGAGGCAAGCCTTGAGCCCAGGAGGTCGAGACCACAGTGAGCAGTTATCACACCACTGCACTCTAGCCTGGGTGACAGGGCAAGAGCCTGTCCCAAAACAAAAAAGAAAGAAAGGAGAGAAAAGAAATTACAGTCTATATCCACACAATGGAATGCTACTTAGCAATAAAAAGGAATGAACTATTGACCCATGCAACAACAGGGATGACTTTCTCTTTTTTTTTTTGACACGGAGTTTCGCTGTGTCGCCCAGGCTGGAACGCAGTGGCAGGATCTCAGCTCACTGCAACCTCCGCCTTCTGGGTTCAAGCGATTCTCCTGCCTCAGCCTCCCGAGTAGCTGGGATTACAGGCACGTGCCATCACGCCCAGTTAATTTTTGTATTTTTAGTAGAGACGGGGTTTCGCCACGTTGGCCAGGCTGGTCTCGAACTCCTGACCTCAGGTGATTCACCCGCCTTGGCCTCCCAAAGTGCTAGGATTATAGGCATGAGCTACTGCATCCACCCTGGATGACTTTCATACTAAGTGAAAGCAGTCAGACACAAGAGGTCACATACTGTGTGATTCCACTCATATGGAATGTCCAGAAAAAACAACCCTCGAGGCAGCAAGCAGATTAGTGGGTGCTGGGGGCAGGGGGGGCGGGGGTAGAAATAAGGATTAACTAAAATAGGCAATGGATGCATGACTCCATAAACTTTATTTTTTTTTTAGACAGGGTCTCACCGTCACCCAGGCTGAAGTCCAGTGGCGTGATCTCGGCTCACTGCAACCTCTGCCTTCCGGGTTCAAGTGATTCTTCTGCCTCACCCTCCAGAGTAGCTGGGATTACAGGCAGGTGCCACCCCACCCGGCTAATTTTTGTATTTTGGGTAGAGATAGGGTTTTGCCATTTTGCTCAGGCTGGTCTCAAACTCCTGGGCTCAAGTGATCTGCCTGCCTCAGCCTCCCAGAGTTTACAGGTGTGAGTCACTGCACCCGGCCTCCATAAACTTTCTAAAAACAATGGGTAAACTCTAAGATACACCTCAATAAAGTTGTGTAAAAATTATGGTTTGGCCACATAACTGATGACTCTGCACTTATCAAAAATGATATTTTAAATGACAAGGTATTTGATTATATTAAGAAATGTTATTTAAATTTTTGAGTAAAATGTTGGTAATAATTTTTTATCTTTTAGGCCAGGCCCAGTGGCTCATGTTTGTAATCCCAGCACTCTGGGGGGCCAAGGTAGGTGGATCACTTGAGGTTAGGAGTTCGAAACCAGCCTGGCCAACATGGTGAAATCCTGTCTCTACTAAAAATAAAAAATTAGCCAGGCATGGTGGCGAGCACCTGTAATCTCAGCTGCTCGGGAGGCTGAGGCATGAGAATCACTTGAATCTGGGAGGCAGAGGTTGCAGTGAGCCAAGATCGCACCACTGCACTCCAGCCTGGGTGAAAGACTGAAATTCCATCTCAAAATATATATATATATATATATAATCTTTTAGAGATACTTGTTGAAAAGTTAAATTATTTATCTTGGATTTGCTTCAAAATGATCTAGTCTGGGAGGTGAGAAAAAACTAAGTTTACATTATGGGTACATGAGGGTACACTGTACTCTCCCCTCTACTTCTTACAATACAAAGTTTAAAACAATTTTTAAAAGTTGTAAAAGAACATTTAATAAAATTAGGAAGTTAGTCATGATTTCTGTGTGAAGCAGATTAGTATGTTTTCAGTGTGGTTCAAATTATATAAAAGTACACATATATGGACATTTTTAAACATTATTAGAGAAATGTTGATTGTCCAGTATTAGCCAAAAAGTTAAAGTTAATTTCTAGGCGTTGGGATCATGCAAGCTATGTTCCTATTCTTACGTTTTCCACATTTCTCACAATGGACATCTATTACTTTCACACCTTAAAAATTTACAGTAATCATTCATGTTGAAAGCCATTTAAGACACAAAATTTATCTTTATTCCATTTGGATTTGTACTGGACACTCTCAAGAAACAGTTAAGCTACAACTTGACATGAAACTGCTCAACCTGATAAGTGTCTACCCCAAATGTTCAGTTCTTGTTCGTTTTTTGGGGACTTTTTAAAAAAGCATTAACCAGAAGAAAGATAAAAATTCTAATTTCACTCCTGTTTATCACCTTCTCATTCATTTCTGGAGGTCAAACTAAAAGTAACCACTTCCAAGTTGCTAATGATTCAGACACAATCTAGTTCTATGGAACTTGTTGGAAAGGAAGTTCTGCGTCTAAAGCTGTCGCAGGATACGACTTCTCAGCTTCCATTTTCTTCCTTCAATATCAAATAGTACTTAACTCTAAATGGACATGATGTTTCTACAAATAGTAGAATCTTTATTTATAAAGAGGTAAATTTCTGTGGCAATAATACAAACATGGATTTGACATACATACACCACCATCCCCAGCTTACATATATTAACTTTTTTTGTTGTTGTTTTTTAGTTTTGAGACGGAGTCTCACCCTGTCACCAGGCTGGAGTGTAGTGGCGCGATCGCAGCTCACTGCAACCTCCACCTCCAGGGCTGAAGTGATTCTCCAGACTCAGCCTCCTGAGAGTAGCTAGGACTACAGGCACGCCCCACCATGCCCAGCTAATTTTTGTATTTTTAGTAGAGGCAGGGTTTCCCCATGTTGGCCAGGATGGTCTCGAACTCCTGGCCTCATGATCCGCCCATCTTGGCATCCCAAAGTGCGGGGATTACAGGCGTGAGCCACCACACCCAGCCATATTAACTTTTGTTTTCTATTGCGTGGGTTCTTTTACAAATTTGGGGTTTTTTTCCCCTTTTAGAGCAGCACCCTAATTCAGGGCTAATGGAATAAGGTATATTTTAATGTAGATTCAATTCAAGGCACATTGAACCTAGTAAAACCGGCAGAGGAGACCTGGTGCTGTTTGTCCTGATATTCACACCCATTGATACTCCCACTTCAGCTAAAGGACTAAAGAGGAAGCCTGTTCTTAGACTGAGAACTGTTACAAAAGGAGAACTTTCCCTTCAGGGAGTCCTCCCCATCAGCTGAATGACCTTTCTTTTCCAGGTCTTCCCACTAGCTGTCACCACGGAAGTCACCACCTGCCCCCCTTTCCCTTGCAAGGGTTACTAACAGTGATCTCATCTGGTCACCACAAAGTCAGTAGGAAACTCAGGCTGAAGATACACTGAAAACCTAGCACCACACAAGAGCTCATCACAGCAACCTTAGTTTTACTTCCTTCTGGAAAAAGACGAACAGCACTTTCTTCTCCTTTCACTGACATTCAGTTAAAAAGGATCCCAGGTACACTCTATGACCGGAGGTAGTGGCGCTTATTGAAACTGGAATCTTTGTAGTGATTAGTGCGTTTGCTCAAACCTGTTAAGACTGAAGTGTGGTAAGTGTCTTGGCTTGAGTACTAACCAGATGGAAAACATCCACCTGTTACAAATGTAGGAGCCTGTTGCGCCTGCAACTGCTGCCTGAATCTTTTGGGTGCTACTCACAGCTCAGGGCAGCATCCACCAGGTGAATGGGTACAACTGCAGAAGTGGCTCCAGGAAGCAGGAACCGCCCTGCATCTTACCTGCACCCTCGCCTGTCACTCAGGAGTTTCTCCACGACTTTGCAGCTGCCTAATGGGGCTGATCTGGTATTAGATATCTGATATCAACGGATATCAGATCTGGGGTAGGGCTGTTCCCTTTTGAAATTAAGGACACCTTAGGAAGATCAAGGGAAACAGTCAGGAGATGAAAGTGGTGGCCAGGAAATAAAATATTCGCCTGAGTGGATTTCAATTCAGTCAGTAAGTACTTGTTTCACGGTCTCCCTTCCACACCCTGTTCTTTGCCTTCTTAGCACTTATCACAGCTTATAATCAGAGTGTGTTTAATCTGTCTCCTCCCACACTGGGAGCTCCAGGAACACAGGGACTGTGTCTGCCTTGTTCACCACCGAGTCCCCAGCACCAAAAACAGTGCCTGAACATAGCGGGCAGTCAAGAAAAGCCTGTTTATTCAACAAATGCCTATCGATGCCAATGACTGCCAAGGACTGTGTTAAGGTCCTTACTCTCAGAGGTTGACAGTCCTTGGTGGAGACAAACAATAAACAAGTAAATGGACAGACAAACAAATGTTTATTATTACTTTCTGGGGAGACAGCTTCCAATTGACAAATAATGACTGAATTCTTAAGTCCTTACACACAATAGTATGTACAGCATTACGCATCAGTGACCAAAACAGACAAAATTCCCTCTCCTCAAGGAGATGACAGCTTTTCCCCATTTCAGGCTCTGTCTGGGCTCCTCCTGTTCCCTCCAACGAGGACCCTCTCCCCAGATCTTCCCCAAGGCTGGCTCCTTTCTATTTGGGTCTCAGCTGAAATATCACCTTCTCCAAGAGGCTTCCTTGACTACCCCTTCAAACGTACCTCCCACCCGAATCACCTTCACACCAACCCGTTTTTCCTTTACGACAAACATTTTTCTGGTTGACGTATTTATTTGGTTAACGCGCCCCTCTCACCCCCGTTAAGTTCCAAAAGGACTCCAAGAGGCCTTTGTGGGATTTGTTCTCCCGCTAAGCTCGGTGCCCCGAGCCGATGAAGACCACACAGGGGAAATCCTAACTAACTGGGGCAAAGCAACCGCGGACCACACAGACGGCCGGCGACCCTGGAGTCAGCCCCGCGCTCCGGGAAGCTTTGGCCGTTGAGTTGGGGCGTCAGCTTCCCCATCTGGGCAATGGGGACGGGACGCGCCCTTCCTCGCTGCTCCCCGCGGGAGGGCCCCAAGAGATGCGCGGGATGGGGAGCGCCAGGAAAGCAGGTGCGGCCCGCGTCTCCCGGGCGACACTCACGTCTCGGAACTGGACCAGGCCCTTCTCGCCCAGGGCGCTGAGACACTCGTAGGCCGTGCCTGACTGCAGGAAGAGCTGCGCCAGGCACATGGTCTCGCTCCGGAACAGGGACCCCATGGCG